TGAGGCCGCGTGGGGGCCGGGGCCCGGGCTGTGGGGCGTCGTCAGGCTGCGTGGGGGCGTGCGCCGCGCTCCGGTCGCGGGCCCCGTGCGGGAAGCGGGCTTGGCGCGGACGCTGTGGGCGTCTCTGCGGGGTAGGGGGGGTGGGCAGGCGGGAAGCGGGTGTCCGTTCTAGAGGTGTCCCGGTTGTGGCGCCTGCGGGGCTCTGAGGTTAGGGGCGTGTGGTCGTTGATCCACAGCCGGGGGCTGTGACCGCGCCCCAGTGGCTTCGCGGGCGCAAGTGTGTCCCTGGAGCTGGGGGACTCCGCGGGGCAAAGCAGAGGGTCCACAGGTGTTGGGGCTCCGGTAATGAGGGCTGTCCTGCTCCGGGATTGGGATGGCAGAGCCCGGCGGAAGACTGGGCGCTGAAGGGTGCCCTGTGGAGGTTGGGCAGGACGGACCGGGTGGCTAAGGGGAGGACTTCACCCTGGACCTAGACCGGGTCCATTCCCCTCCTGGTTGATCAGTGTTTGAAGGGAGGATAGATAGGCCAGACTGGCCTCTAGGACCCCTCCTCACCGTGCAGCATGGAAGGAAGAGCGTGGACTGGGACTCTGTTAATGTCACTGGATAGGAGACTTTGGGCAGGTTAGTCAAATCCACTGCCCCTCAGTTTTACCTGCAAAGCCGGGATGGCGACAGTACCAATTCCAGGCTCCTGCAATGTGGAAATAATAATAGCTGTATCATTAACATAATAACCCTTAGGGTCCTGCACCAGAGAATGAAATCCACAGGAGGGAAAGCAAAGCAAGCCCCAGAGGAAAGCTTTCAGGTCAACAGATGAAATAACGCGAACATCTAGATGGGGGCTTAGATTCAGAATTTTCTAGTCCTGTCCTGGGAGGGCAGTGGCAGGTGGCGCCGGGGAGTCTAGGAACAGAGGGTCTTCCTGGATGGAGGAGCATATGGTGGGCCTGAGGGGGAGGATTTCCTGATCACGTGGGAGTCTGCAGAGGTCTCTGTGTCTGGACCAGGGTTTCTCAGTTTCCGCACTGAGGATAATTTGGGACAGACAGCTGTGGGGGTGGCGGGTGCAGAGAGGGCTGTGTTATGTACTGTAGGATGGCTGGCCTTATCCCTGGCCTCCACCCATCACATGTCAGTAGCCCCTTCCCTACTCCAATTGTGGGAGCAAAGTGTCTCCAGACACTGCCCAGGATCCCCAGGAGGGCAGTCACCCCATTTGAGAAGCAGAGATGTACAGGGCCGTGGTGAGGGCACACCATGGACAGCCCCTAAGTGTGAGGATGGAGAGGAGAGAGGGGCTGGAGGAAAAAGACGATAATGGGGCAGTGTTCCCAAGGTGAGAAGGGGTGCCCAGCCTGCAGCCCCAGTGCGCTCCGAGAGGCTTCTTTATGCGGCAGTGGAGCACCTGCCACGGGCCAGGCGTCCTGCCACTGAGCTAATTAGACAGACTTGGGTCCTACCCTCCTGGGCTTGCATTTAGTAGGGAGATGAAACTAAGTGTGTAATAGGTGGTGAGACATATTTTGAAAAGTGAAGCAGGGTGAAGGGATTGTGGGGTGACAACAGGTGCTGTTTTCAGGCCAACATCAGGCATTCCGAGCATCTTGGTCAACTCCAACAGCGCCTAGGTGGGATCCCTTGACTGGGGAATCTAGGAGTTTGGCTTTGAGTTTATCAAAGACTTTTCTCCAATGCTGGGGCCTGGGCTTCAACAGGGAGAGGTCAGCTCTCCAGCCTTGCTCCTGAGGCTCAAAGACTGGGTCAGTGGTTCTGAACTATGGCTTCATGTAAGCGTCACCTTGGAAAGCTTTAAAAATGAAAACAAAAGCTCCCAGAGATCCCGAGTTACTTGGTCTGCTGTGGGGCATAGCCCTCAGTATTAAAAAGCTCCTGAAAGCTTCTAATGTGTAAACAGAGTTGAGAGCTACAGCTCTGAGAGCTTATAGGACCTTCTGGGGCTTCTCCTAATAGAAGTAATTGATTTGGTGGAGGGGAGGCAGGTGACAGGTTTCTCAATAGCTTTTCAAAGGCAGTTCTGATGGCTACATGTCCCTGTGATAGAGACATTGCCAGCCCTGTCCCACAAGTGTGGACCCTGCACAGAGCAGAGAAATGGCAGGGCCCGCATTCGCAGGATGCAGAGAGCGTGTTTTCTGGTACAGCTGGACTTGGGTCTTCAGAGAAAGTGTTTTCGTGAGTCGCTGGCCTCCGGGGCTGGCGGATTCAAATATTTGACAGGTGGTATAGAAAAGCAGGCTGCTGAAAGGAAGCAGTGAGACTGCTGCACTAAAGAGCTGGTGCTCAGGTATGCCGGGGTCCCCACCTCAACATCCAGCACAGCCCCTGGGCCCAGAGGGGCGCCCTCAAGGCTCAGGAAGGACCCTCAGTTGTTCTCATGGCCACTGTCCAGTACTTCTTTGAAGCGTGTTCCCATCCAGGTTCTAGCCATCCTCACCTTCGATCAGGAATTTAGCTTTGTGCCAAGTCACAAAGCCCTTTCCCCTGGGCAGACAGGCCAGCTGTACAGCCCTGCCCTGAGGTGCTATGGGATCGAGTCTTTATTTGTGGGGGTATTTTAAAGAGGTGATTACCCACGCCTGACACAAAACACCAGTGTGCAGCTGGGAAGAGTGAGTTTTGAGTTTGTTCCCACGCCAAGTGACCTAGCCTCCTTCAGGTGCAGCCCCTGCCTGCAGCTGTCACTCTCTCCAGGACTAGACTGTCTTTTCAGCTCACATATTTGTATCCTGTGTTTTGTTTCCTCTGAGAGGCTTTTCTAAACCTTTCCTCCCATCGGCACACTACGTTCTGGAGGTCATTTCACATGGTGCCTGCGGAGCAGGTTCCCATTGGGCTGGGCCGTTCTTTGCTCCAGGCACTGCCCTGCACTCTGTATGGTGTTGAGCAGCACCCCCACCTCGGTGCCGGGAGCACCTGCATCCCCAGTCGTGACCTCCACAAGTGTTCCCAGACATTGTAAGTGTCGCCTGACACAGAATGGCCCCAGTGAAGAACCATGGACGTAGTGCTTCTTGCTCCTCCTGAGGACGTATAGTTACGTGCCTGTGACCCTCAGCCATTTCCTGCCTGCAGGTGATCGGGTCTCTGGTCGTGGTCACCAGCGCCTGCAGCACTGGCCCTGCTCTAGGTGTGCCATGGTTCACTCTGATCCTCACAACACCCACGGGGGCTCTGTCATTTGCCTCATTTGACTGTCGAGGAAGCTGAGGCCCAGAGGGGACGTGGAGAGTGAGGCCACATGAGTGGGGGAGTTAGAAGTGATGTCCAGCTGCAGGCACGAGCTCTTCAGCACAGGACCTCCCTCCACACTCTGCTGTGAAGGCCTGTGTGCCCGTCGTCCCACACACACAGAACGCCCAAAGACAAATGCCAGAACTGTGTGTGGGCACGATGTACGCCACCAGTCATGAAAAACTCCCTCCTTTGGGCAGTGCCAGTTTTCTCTGTAGCCAGTGCCACGCGAAGGTTCTAACCACAGCACTAGTGGATCCCCGGCATCTTTGGTCCGCAGGAGGCTCAGCATGTACTGACTGAAAAAGAAAAGGGAGGCAAGACGTTTCCGTGTGCCTGTTGCTGGTGATGGCTTTCCAGCTCGGGGTGAGCGAGGCCTTCTTTCCCCTGCTTCCGGGCAGGCACCCCGAGGCTTTGTGCAGCTTCCCCAGTCAGTAATGAGCAGGGGCCAGCTTCGAGCCAGCCTTACCCCATAGCATACCGCTGTTCTTCACTCCCCAGCAATGCTGAGCTCCTCAGAGAAAGTTACTTTGTGGACAAGAGTTGTGCTTCTCCCATTTGGGGTGTGCGGCTGAGTGCAAACAGCTCTGAGAAACCACGGGATGGACACGGTGCTGCATCGGGGAGCAGTCCATTCTCCTTGAGGGATCAGAAGGGAGGGGCCGAGTGACATGCTTACCTGGTTACTTAAAATAAGATTTCTGAGTTAACAAGCTCAGGTGTGTTGTGATGCAGGTATAAAAGTCACATGGATGCTTCAGGATGAAACAGAACCAACCAGCAAAACCTCTGTTCTAAGGCAGCTGCTTTGGGATGTGGCACAGACAGAGCAGAAATCCTCTGCTTTTCAGGGATATTAGCCAAAAGCAGAACTCCCAGGCGAAGAAGAGAGTTTCATTCTCAGCTGGGGCAGGAGTGTGAGGCTGTTAGTGTGGCTCACACCAGCCCGTGTGCAGACCCCAGTCCCCAGCACAGGATGTCCACTTGGTAGCTCATGAAGGGCCCTGCTGGGTGTGTTTACACATGGGAGTTGGCAGATGCTTTAATCGCCTGGCACACCACTGCCCTGGCCCAGTGTGGGGAGAGCCCGTGCATCCTGCATTCCAGGGTGGGCCCCTTCCCCACTTTCTGTGTGAGGGGCCTTGCTCAGGGCGGTCAGAACTGAAGGCCAGGCCACTCGGTCTGTCACTGAGCCACAATTCAACCTTCAATGGTGTGCTACAAACCTCCCCAAGTCCCAAGGCTTGTTACTCTGAGGGAACAGAGGTGAGCATCTCACAGCTGTGGTGCCAAACTGATGCCTCCCGAGCCCTGTGGAGAGAATGGTGGGGAGGGCTTCCCATGTGCCCACCTGCCCTGTGCCAAGATGGCAGATCGCTGCGTGTGGACAGGGCGCAAACCCAGGCTCCGTGGCCTGAAGCCCTGAAGTTGGGCCCGTCGCCCCTACCCTCTGGCCCCACTTGGGCATAGGAACTGGGTGACCAGTCTGCTCTCAGGATGAAAGGAGAGCACCCCACAGAAGGAGAGCACGTGGTAAGGGGATCACATGATACACACGAAGCGCCCGGTGGCGCTCAGTCCCGCACGCGGAAGCCGAGGCCCCGTCCCTGGGTCAAGCGCCGTCAGCCCACCTGGGTGTTTACCCAGAGTGTGGGGTGGAGGGCAGCGGTGACCTGCACAGTGCCCGCCCACCCCACGCTGATGTGTCAACAGCAGCGGCGGGACAGCTCGCTCAGTGCCCACCATGATCTTCCTGCTCATGGCAGGGGCCCTTCATCCTCCCCCTGTGGGCGTAAAGAGTGGAAGTAAAAGCCCAGTAACCTGCCCCAGGCCACGCAGCTCCACACGGGAGCGCTAGTCAGCTCAGTGTCGGGAGGGCAGCAGATGGAGGCAAAGGCCAGTGTAGCAACAGAGTTTGTTTCCCACTTAATGGAGGGGCACCCAGTGCAGGTCGAAGAGGACCTCCCCAGCCAGGCGCCCCGGATGGCTCACTGTGGAGAGTCAGTCATTCAGGCAGCACGTGTGTGCAAGCCCCTTGCACGTGCCCGGAGCTGGTCCGGGGCACCTGGGCTGCACTCGAGTGGGTTGGAGGTCGATGGTAAGCGGAGCACGCGGTGCTTTGGGAAGACTCAGTCTGTGCCCTGGGTCCCCTTTGCCTTCACACTGGTGCTGCTCTCCCAGCACTTCGGGCCCCAAACATGGGGGCTTCCCACACCAGGCAGTCCTGAGACGCCCCTGGGTGCCCTACTGTTTAACTTGCCTCTGACACTAGTCCAGACCCCGCAGGTGAAGGGCTCAGTTCTAGAGACTGCCCCCCACTGCGGATGCCAGTTGCAAGTAGTGGGTCCCCAGGCTACCCACAACTTCTGTCCAGCTCGGCTACAAACTGGAGGCTCCCATGACCTCCTTGGGTTCAGTTAATTTGCTAGAGCAGCTCGCAGAACTTGGGAACACTTAAGTTTCCAGTTCATTATATGATAGGTAAAGAATACAGCTGGTGAACAGATGCGCCTGTACATCTTCCCCTGCTGGGGCCTGTGGTTGACGATTCCTCCCCCCTGAGGATTCTTCCCCTGGGGTCTGAGATGGACAGGACAGTTCTTGCCAAGCAGTGGTGGCGTGCGAGCTCCCCCTTCTGGCCTCCAGACTCCAGTTCAGTGAGGTTTCCCTTTTTAAATTTTCACAAATATATTTTCACAATTTAATTTTTCAAAGTGGGGGAAATAAAAAGTATACTCCCGTTTCTGCCTTTCTAGACCCCGCCTGTCTCCAAAAGTCAGGGTGGAGGGCTTGGGATGACCGCTGGGGAGTGCCGGGAACCGGTGTGGAGTCCCTCCGCAGCTGCTCCTTGGGCACCGCTCCGTGCTGGGTGTGGGGCTGAGAATGCACATCTTCACCAGCCCTGCAGCAAACAAAACACACGCAGCGTATTTGCCCCCAAATTTGCCGGATGCTGTCTGGTGTGCCGCTCCTGCTCAGCCCCTGACCCCTAACGTCTTACCGCACTTGGGATCCGTTCCAAGCAGCCCGCCACCCCCGTCCTGATGTGGAAGGCACCTGCTGTGGCACCTCGACCTTGCGGTCCCCCACACGCCCGGCGCCCGCCTTGCGCGTGTTGTGCCCCCATGCAGAGTGCTCCTCCCCCAGCGCCCGGGTGGCGCACACTCCCACTGCCCTCGGACCTCAGCTTGGACGGCTCCTCTGAGAGGCCTCCCCACCACTCGGCACCCCCGGCTGGGCCTTTCTGTCTTCAGACCGATGATCTCAGCACTGTTCGGTGTGGACTTGCCTTCCTGGCTGGAATGTAGGGTGCGTGGGAGCTGCCACTAATCCACTCCAGTTCTGCCCTCTGCTCAGTACGTGGGGCAGTGCCTGGCACCTGGTAGGCACTCAACAAATACTGTGTCAGAGGGACGAACACGTTTCACTTGCCTCCCAGTGTGGAGCCTTCTGGGACCTTGGGAGCAGATAGCATTGTCCGTGGCCCCTCCCTGACCCTGGGAAGGGTAGGAGTGCTGAAGATGATCTGACCTCCACGTGCGCGTGTGTGTGCGTGTGGGGCCCGGGTGCGCGGCCAAGGGAGTCTCATCCCGGGATCTCCGGGGCCGCCCAGAAGGCCCACCTGACCTCGTGGCTTCTCTTCTCCCCCAGCCCCAGCGCCCCGCCCCTCTCCGGAGTGGACCCTCCAGGGAGAGGCAAGGATGTCCGCTGCTCCGGGGAAAACCAGGTCCAAGGTACGTGTGATTCGTCCTCTGGAGGCTCCACTTGGCAAGACAGACACTGTTGGCTTTCCTTCCAAGGAGACACCCTCTTCTCTGCGTGCGCGTGACTGCTCGCCCGTTCACCCAGCAGCACCTTTGGGTCCGTTGGTGCTGGAGAAGGAAGGACGGGAGCCCCCTGCTTCCTCATGGCGGAGGCCTGCCGGGGCAGACGGGGTTCCATGCTGCACTCGGGGTCCGTCCCTTAACGTCGCTTTGCTTTTACTTACACGACACAGGTTTACAAGGAGGAGATCTCTGATGTGACCCTGTATTCAGGTTGGGTTCCCCGGAGCCAGGCCAGGGAGCCTGCCTTCTGCCTTGAGATGCTTCAGCACTTGGTGGTTTTCTGCAGTAAGCATCCTGAGTGGCCCATCATCACGCAACCTGGGCTGCTCATCTCTCCCACGGACTGTGGGCTGGAGGTCGGGTGCAGTGGGGGTGGCTGGCCCTCTGATTTGGGCTGCATCGGGGGCAGGGTCCTCTTCTGGACGCATCAGTATCAGGATTTCCGTCCCTTCTGCCCCCTGTATGGGCACCTCTTCCTCTTGAAGCCGGCAGTAGCCACTCAAACCCCCCTCCTGCTCACGCCTCCCGACCCCCCTTTCTGCTCTCTTCCACCAGCTGGAGGAAATTCTTCACTCTGGGGGACCCCTGTGATCACACTGCCTGCCTGAATATGCCAGGACAATCTCCCTTTTTTAAGGCCAGCTGATTGGTCACCTTGATGGCATCTGCAGAGGGTCCTTTGCCCTGTGAGGCAGACTCCTGTGCTCTTCAGGGAGTGGGTTGGGGGGCATAAGTCATGCCAGACTGCCCAGATTGAGCCCAACTCTGAGACCCTCAGTACGTCCCCGCCCCCCGGGCCTCAGTCTCCTCGTCTGCGACACTGCTGTGGAACTCTCAGCAGTGCTCCATCCCGCTAACACAGGTCAGGGCACCGAGGGTGCTTAGAAAAATGCCTTGGCTTGATGCTCGGTGAGTCCTTGTTGATATGTTAACAGGATCCTTAGTATCAGTTCCATGTATCGCGTTGTGTTGTGTTTATTTAACATACCTGCCCCTGGGGCCTCAGAGCCCAGATGACCTCTGGCACTGCGTGTCTCCTGCATTTGGGACGAGTCCCTGCTCTCTCCAGCCATGGGGAACCACGAGCCCCCCGGAGCGACATGCGATCTCTTCCATTTCAGGCACCAGTGACGTTCGGGGATTTGGCCGTCTACTTCTCCCAGGAGGAGTGGGAACAGCTGAGCCCCGCTCAGAAGGATCTGTATGAAGAAGTCATGCTGGAGAACTACCAGAACCTGGTGTCTCTTGGTATGGTTCTGCCCCGGAACCCGCTCCCGCCATGGGGACACCAATCCGGCAGCCCAGTCAGGAAAACAGCCACTCCAGTTTCAAGTTTGAAGCCACTCCAGCTTCAAGAAAGCTTTTTTAATAGCTTTCTTGATACTGTGCTATTCATCCGTGTGCAGTGTACAGCTCAGTGGTTCCCACACTTGGGCATCCAACCCCACAGTCAGTTTAGAACATTTTCCTGAGCCCTGAAGCAGCCTTGTGCCCATTGGCAACCCCCCAAGATCAGGCAGCCACTAATCCACTTTCCGCTTCTGAATTCACCTGTTGACCTCTCAGAAACGGAACCACAGATACATGGTCCTGTGTGTTGGCTTCTTTGACTTAATGTAATGCCTTCAAGGTTCACTTGTACTGTGTCTTTTCAGTACCTCCTCCCTTTTATGGCTAAGTTATACTCCCCGTGTGTTTCTCTGCTCATCAGCTGGGCATTTGGGCTGTTTCCACTAGGCTGTTGTGAATGTGCTCTGTGGATGACTGGGTCTGAGTGTCTGGGTGTGTGTGTGCGGTCATTTCTCATGGGTGTGCACCTAGGAGCGCAGTTGCTGGTCATCTAGTGACTATATATGAGATCTTTTGAGGACACCTGGTGGGTTTAAGAGAGAGGATTTAATATGGGTTGATTTAACAGGTACTGTTTGAGGTGCGTAGTGGATGCTGAGATAAGGCAGAGTTGCTAAGTGCAGGGCAGAGCCACCATCCTAGGACTGGGGGACAGAGGGTCGAGTCTGGGGTTTTTAGGGAGGGTCTCAGACTTCTGCAGGAGCGGAGGGATGTGCTGCCTCGTTGGCCTGCGCTCCTAAAGGGGCAAGATGAGGCTGCTCTGGAGTGCAGGGAAAAGAAAAGCAGAATGTAAAGCCCCCAGAGCCCCTGTGGGTGGGTGGCGGCAAGGAGCAGCTGGTGACGGGGTTGCAGCCCACCAAGCACCACAGGAGGGGCCAGAGAAGGGTGGGCTGGAGAAGAAAGGCTGTGGCCTAATGACCAGCCACGGCAGGTTCCGGGGCATCTTTTCAGGAAGGTGTTGACTTTGTAGCTTAGAGGTGAACAGCTCTGCTGGCCTCATTCTCTACTGGCCCTTGGCATCCTCCACGCTCCCTTTGTGAAGATAAACCCGTCCTGTGGACACGGGGCTTGTCTCCGATGCCTGTGGCACCCACATGCTCAGTTCTGATGTTTTCCCATGTGCAGGATTTTCCTTCCGGAGGCCAAACGTGATCGCTCTGTTGGAGAAAAGGGAAGCGCCCTGGGTGGTGGAGCCCGCGAGACGACGTCAGGGCCCGGGTGAGTGGCGAACTAGGCTTCCGTGGGAGCGGCCTCCTCAAGGCCGTGTCTGGGGGCCACTTTCCCCACAGGCTCCAGGCCTGTGCAGATACTCAGGTCTCCAGTGTGAGCCCCCAGAAGGAAAATATCCAACATCCAGTAAGTACAGGTCCCCCCAACCTGTAAGGTAGATACTGTTACTATACCTATTTTGTAGACCCGGAAGCTGAGGACCGCAGAGGCTCAGTGACCAGCCCAGGGCAGCAGAGCTGGCGTAGATCCTCAGCTCTGGTCTCGGGAGCTCAGCTCCTAACACCCTCATCCCCACCTACCACATTCCCTTCCCTGGTGGCCATATTTCCCTTTAGAGAAAGTGGGTTCTGACATTTCTAATGATGATGTTCAAATTTGCCTCATTTTCCTCATTCCTTAAAAAAAATTAAAAATTTTCCCATAACTATTTACTTTGACTACTTTGTGAGAACTCATTCTCTTTTCTAACAGATCCTCTTTGATTGGTCAAGTTATTTATCTTTTACAGTTCTATGAGTCATTCTTTTAATTGTGGTAAAAACAATTTTCAATTTGTCATCTTAGCCATCTTCAAATGTGCAGTTAAGTATATTCACATTGTTGTGTAACAGTCCTCTAGAGCTTTTCATCTTAATACTGAAACTCTACCCAGTAAACACCACTCCTCCCCGACCCTCCACCCGGCCACCACCTTTTTACTTTCTGTTTCTATGATTTTGACGACTATGGCTGTGTCATATGACTGGAATCATAGTGTATTTGATCTCTCGTGAGTAGCTTTTTGGTTAGCATAATGTCCGTTAGGTTCATCCATGTTGTAACATGTGACAGGATTCTCTTTTTAAAGCCTGCATAATATTCCATTGCACGTGTGCACCACATTTTCTTTATCCATTCGTCTGTCAGTGACTGTTTGAGTTGCTTCCACCCCTTGGCTACTGTGAATAATGCTCCAGTGAACATGTGTAGATACATTTATGAAATCCTGATTGCAGTTCCTTTGACTATGTACCCAGAAACGGGATTGCCGGGTCGTACTGTAGTTCTAGTTTTAATTTTCTCGGGAGCCTCTCTGTTTTCCACACGGATGGAGATGGCTGTGCCATTTGTCATTTCCTCCAGCGGTGTGTGAGGGTTCTGACTTCTCATTCTTGCTAACTATTGTTTTCTGGTTCTTTTTATAGTGTGGTGTGAAGTGACATAGGTTTACTTTAACATTTCCTTAGTTAGTGATGTGGAACATCTTTTCATGTGTTTATTGGCCATTGACCAGTTGTCTGTCTTCCTTGAAGAAATGTCTTTTCAAGTCCTTTGATCATTTTTTAATAGGATTATTTGTCCTTTGTTGTTGAGGTGTAGTTCTTTAATATATACATTACCCCCAAAACAGATGGTGATTTGCAGTTTTTTCTTCCAGAGGTTGACTCTTCACTCTGTCGATTGTTGCCTTTGACACGTACAAGTAGTTTCATGTGGTCCCACTTGTCTGTTTTTTTGATTTTGTCGCCTCTGCCTTTGGTGTCATATCTAACAACTCAGTGCTAAATCCAGTGTCCTGAAGCTTTTCCTGTATATTTTCTTCTAGGATTTTAATAGTTGCAGGTCTTAAGTTTAGGTCTCTAATCCATTTCAAATTAATTTTTGTATCTGGTGTAAGGGAAGGGTCCAAGTTCCGTCCTTCTGCATGCGGACATCCAGTTTTCCCAGTATTGTTTGTGGGTGAGACTGTTGTGACCCCATTGTGTGGTCTTGGCACTCTTGTTGGGAATCATTTGGCCAGACATGCAGGGGTTTATTTCTGGGCCTCTGTTCTGTTCTGTTGGTCTGTCTGTCTGCCTTTATGCCAGCACCACACTATCTTAACTGCTGGTGCTTTGTAGAATGCTTGGAAATCAGCAAGTAGGAAGCCTTCAGCTTTCTTCCCCTTTTTCAAGATGGTTTTGGCTATTCAGGTCCTTTGAGTTTCCATATGAATTTTAGAACATTTTTTCTATTTCTGCAAAAAATTTCATTGGGATTTTGATACAGATGGCATTAAATCTGTATTGCTCTGAGTAGCATGGACATTTTTATAATATATTTTATGTGATCTTATCTGTAGAAAACACTAAGGGTTTTGCACAAAACTGTTAGAACAAATAAATTCAGTAAAGTGGCAGGATACAAAATCAACACTCAAAAATCAGCTGTTTGTATACACTAACAATGACCACTCTGAAAAGGAAATTGAGAAAATCCCGTTTATGTTAGTATCAAAAAGGATAAAATATTTAGGAAGAAATTTAACCAGAGATGAAAGATTTATACACTGACAACTACAAACATTGCTAAGAGAAATCAAGGAAGATAAAAATAAATGGGAGGACATCCTGTGCATTATGTGGTTCTGTGATTAGGGACCTGTGACTCTGGGCTGTGAATGTCCCGTCGTTGGGACAGGATATCTGGCGCCTGCTGGGGTTGGCATTTCCTTCCTCAGATCAGACACTGGTTAAATGGTTTCCCTTGTGACCAACGGAGGGCTCTGCAGTTATCATTAAATAGCTCCTCCTTCCCTCCCATGGCTGGTAGCGGGGAAGATTTTTCTCTGCTATTTACCATTTTCAAGGTACCCCTGGAGTACTTAACTCAGATGTGATGGCCCTGGGCCTCCAGCAGCTGGTCGGCCACGTGAGCGGAGGCTCCCCGAGTCCGTCTGTCCCTCCAGGTTTGGAGGCAGTGATTTGCTCTGTGCCCTCCCCTCTCTTATGGATCCAAGAAGAGTTGTTGGCTTTAGAGTCTGTAGCTTTTTACTTGTTATTAAGACAAAGTGGTAATTTCCAAGCTTCTTACATGAGGAACCAGAAACCAGAAATTCAGTTTTTTTGTTGTTTTTTTGTTTTTTAAGAGAGCAAGGCAGAGGCTTTTATTTAGAAAGCGAGAGGACAGAGCTCCTGGCTCAGGCCAGGAAGGAAGGGGACAAGAGGGCCCCCTAGTTTTGTTTTACACAATCGATTTTAAGAAAACATTTTTTAAATTTACAACTTCATGGAGGAAAAATTTACGTATTATAAAATTCACCCATTTTGAGTGTACAGTCGATCACCAGAAGTGATACACCCATCACCATGATCTAGTTTTAGAACACTTTACCCACCCCAGTAAACCGGACCCTCACCCATTTACAGTTATTCCCCACTCCCACCTCCAGCCCCATGCAACTAATTTCCCTGCTATCTGTAGTTTTTCTGGACATTTCATATAATAAAACTATATTCATCTAATGGATAACCATGTAGCATATGGTATAAATTAATCTTACAAATAAAACCTTCATTTGTTCATTTCAAATTGCAAGCTGTCCTGAATTCCAGTTATTAAGTATTTCTGTAAAGACCCTGATATGTTGAAACCATAATAAAACTAAAAGTCACTGTTTCGGTTGTCATTGTCACTGTGACTGATGATGCTGACTGCACAGAGCCTTTACTTTTCCAGCACAGGAAAACAAATACTGGATTTCTTGATGTCTTTCAGACTCAGGGTCTAAATGTGAGACCAAGAAGTTACCTACAAATCAGTGTAACAAATCTGGGCACAGCATCTGTCATAAACCAGTTCCTGCACCACACGACATTTCCACAGGAAAGAGAGGCTGCAAGAAGAATTCAGTCCTAATAAAACCCAAGAAAGTTCGTTCAGGAAAGAAATCTTTAAAATGTAATGACTGTGGGAAAGTCTTTAGTCAGAGCTTCTCTCTCAGACTTCATCAGAACTCTCATACTGGAGAGAAGCCATATGGGTGCAGCAACTGTAGAAAAGCTTTCAGACAGATCTCTTCCCTCATTCTTCATCAGAAAATTCACAATGGAAGGAAAAGCCACAAATGTGATCAGTGTGGGGAAAGCTTCCTGCGTAGAACCACCCTTACTCTGCATGGAAAAATTCATGATGGAAAGGCAACCTCTGATTGTGGGAAGGCCTGGAGTCAATGTCCATCTCTCAGTGTACATCAGAAAATCCACTTGGTCGAGAATGTCCATCAGTGCAGAAAATGTGGGAAGGCCTTCATTCGACTGTCATCCCTTTTACTTCATAGGAAAATTCACAATGGAAAGACAGTACATAAATGCAACAAATGTGGGAGATTCTTCAATAAGAGATCAGTCTTTGTTACACATCAAAGACTTCATGCTGGAGAGGAAACCCATGAAAGTGAGGCTCTAAGTCAGAATCTACAGCAGAGAAGTCACCATTCAGAGAACTCTTATAAATGCAGAAAATGTGGAAAATCTTTTAATAGGATTTCATCCATTATACTTCATCAGAGAATTCACACTTCACAGAAACCCTACAAATGTGATAAATGTGAGAAGGACTTCAGGCAGCTCTCAACCCTTATTCTACATCTAAGAATGCATAATGGAGAGAAACTACACAGATGTAATAAATGTGAGAAGGTCTGTAATCGGCATTCATCCCTTATTCAGCATCAGAAAGTTCATGCAAGGAAAAAGAAACTGTTTGAATGTAAGGAATGTGGGAAGATGTTCTCTGGAACTGCCAACCTTAAGATACATCAGAACATTCATTCTGAAGAGAAACCTTTCAAATGCAATAAATGTAGTAAAGTTTTTGGCCGCCAGTCATTTCTTATTGAACATGAGAGAATTCATACTGGAGAAAAACCCTACCAGTGTGAGGAATGTGGGAAAGCCTTCAGCCACCGAATATCTCTAACTCGACATAAGAGAATTCATACTGAAGATAGACCCTATGAGTGTGCCCAGTGTGGGAAGGCATTCAGTCAAAGTGCACATCTTGCCCAGCATGAAAGAATTCACACTGGAGAGAAACCATACACATGCAAAATATGTGGGAAGGCCTTTAGTCAGCGCACATCCCTGATTCTACATGAAAGAAGCCACACTGGAGAGAAACCCTATGAATGTAATGAGTGTGGGAAGGCCTTTAGCAGTGGCTCTGATCTTATTCGGCATCAGAGAAGTCATTCTTCAGAGAAACCCTATGAATGTAGTAAGTGTGGGAAGGCATATAGTCGGAGCTCATCCCTGATTCGACATCAGAATACACATTCAGAAGGAAAAGCCTAAGGTTGTTTTAAATATGTAAAAGCAAAGGGGGAGGCTAACACAGTAGCAGAAACAGAGGCATGAGGAAGATGTGTTCATCTGTAACGTAAGTTTTGTAAAAATGGGACCATTTGATGATGTGTCCCATTTTGAAAGCCAAAGAGTAAAAGTTACTGGTGACTTTTGACCTGAAGATTTGAAATCAGCTGAGGGCAGTGATCTTATCAAAGGTCTTACTTTCAGAGTTCACAAACTCAGATGGTCGGATCAGTCATCTCTAATGAGGACCATTCTTCATTGAATAAGAACCATTGATACTTTATTTCCATTGTAGTTTTAAACTATTTCATTGGTCACATGACAAAGTGGAACCATAAAGTCCATTTTTGTGAATGGGGCTTTCAGCCTGATTTAAGGTCACCTGAAGAAAAAGTTTTGAGTTCATCCCTTAGAGCTAGAACCGCCACATCTAAGAGACTTCCTGGCAAACCAGGCTGCTGCTTTCAGCCGAGAGAAGCTGAGGGCGAGAATGAAGAGTGAGCTCATCACGGAGAGGAGCAGGGGGGCATCACCCCTGTCTTCATGGACGTGAAGATGGTCTTCATGATGTGGAAATCTAACCAGCCTGAGGCAGATCCTGGGGAACCACAATGCACTAGGAATGGGGACTTCAGACTGGGGAGAGATGTGTTATTTGGAAGTAAACATGCCTATATTTATATGAGTAAACATGGGTGTTTTCATGTAAGAACACTGGTAGCAGTGAGTGCTAGAGAATGGGGAGCCATTTCCTGAATGTGATCCCTACCAAAATCCATATTGAGTCCCTAACTCCCAATGGGATGGTGTTTGGAAACAAGGCCCTTGGGAGATAATTGAGGTTGGATGAGGTCATGAGGGTGGGGCTCCTGTGATGGGATTAATATCTTTAAAAGAAGGGACACCAGAGAGCTTGCTGGGTGGAGATACAGCAAGGTGGCTGTCTGTAAGCCAGAAAGAGGGCCCTCATCAGTGTCCAACACGGCACCTTGATCTCAGACGTGCAGCCTCCAGAACCATGAGAATAGGTTTGTCTTGTTTGTGGCCCCTGGTCTGTGGTGTTTTATGACGCCCAGGCTCATTCATGGGCGAAACTGGATTATGTGCCAGGCACTTTTCCTGTTGGCTGTTCACCATATATAATACCTTTCAGTCCTTTTTTTCTTCTGTAAAATATGTAAGAAATAAGATCAGTTCTTTTTTGTAATTGGGTTGTATATAGTTCAACTTTTTGTGTACGTTTTCCTTCTGCAAAAGCAGAAGGCACCCATTTTTGTTAAGACGATGTGGAATGTGTGACCGTGTGGGTTAGGGCCTCTAACTTTGACCACAGCCGAGGAAACAGCCAGATTTGCGAAGGGTGAACATGCATGCAGGATAATAGAACAATTTTCCATTTAAAATTGTCATCAATTCTGCAAAATCAGTATGAAAAAAATCAGCACTTGGAGCAAATTGGTGAGCAAACAGCATGGAAGGTTAATGGAGAGACGGGTCTTTCCTCCCTCCTTCCACAGCCCTCTGCTTTGTTAGTTCCTCTGCCATCGCTGTTGGTTCCGAATCAGTGGTCACAACCTCATGTGGGTGATGTGAGCTGATGAGACAGTGTTCTTGCCCCAGGCGCTTAACAGTGTACTGGGGAATACCGCTATCAAAACATGGAGACATACAAGTCACATGGGTAGTATAGAGGAGAAAGATCAACTTCGTGGCAATGACGGGCATGGGGACAAGGATCACTGTGGGAGATGGTGATGGTCTTAGAGGAAGAACAGGAATTTTACTAGGCACACAAAAGTTGGAAGATGTTAAAGGCAAAGAATACCAGTGCACAAAATAATGGCGGAGAGTCACAGAGGATCAGGGAAGTCACAAGTCCCAGCACCGGTATATATAGGAAGTGGCGAGCACACAGTGAGTGCCGAGTAAGTAGATGGGAACAGTACGGCCGGACTGCCTCTGAAGCATAAACCAAAGGGAGCATTTGAACCTGAAGGCGACCCAGACCCCATCCCAAGGGACAGACCCCTGGGAAAACAGGCCTCACCAGTGGTTTTTAGGGACTGATGAACTTTGGGTGACAGGAGCACCCAATCGGAAACCTAGTCTGATTCCTGAGTATATTAATGAAAACCCCACACTAAAGCCTTGACAGAGGGAATGACATGGCCACTTCCGGGAATTAGATCCATTTACTTCAGTTTCTACTGTCCTGCACAAAGTATCTGGCTTTTGGCAAAACAAAACAAGCCATTGACAAATGCAGGAATAACACCCCTCCCCACCCCCCCAACCAACAGACAAAGCAATCCGGAACTGGACTGAGGAATGACACAGCTGTTGGGCTACCTGACACAGAATTTAACTGAGTAATTAATGTGTTAAAGGCTCTAAAAGAGATGCACAGCGGGCAAGTCAGCTGGGTCAGCGGAGCAGAGATGGGTTGTAGGAATCGAATGGAAATCTGGAAATGAACAGTAACAGGTGAGTAATGTCTTCAGGCTTGTCACACAGCTAAGGAAAGAGAAAACTGAAGGTAGGTCAATAACAATTCCCCAAAGTGAACCCCCATGGGGAGGGGGAGAGACAAGAATAGAACATCCAAAGACCTGCAGGGGAAAGTGTTGGTCCAACATACATGTAATTGGAATTCCACAAGGAAAAGAGAAAACAAAAAATATTTGAAGAAATAATGGGTAATGACACCAAAACACAAATGTATAAAGCTCAGAGAAGAAGAAAGATGAAGAAAAAAAAAAGACATTACATACAGAGGAACACAGATAAGAATTACAGCAGACTTACCAGAAACCTAGAGAATGTAATGACATTTGTAAAGGGTTGAGAGAAAAGCTGTCTATGAAAATTTCACGGATATATCTTTAAAATTTGATAGAGAAATGAAGACTTTCTCAGTGAAAGAAAAACTGAGAATACATTGCCAGAAAATAGAGAAGAAATGTTTTGTGAAGTTTTAAAATCAGAAGCATGATGTAACAGGATACTTGAATATACACAAAGAAGATATCTGGAAATGGAATAAATGAAAGTAAAATTTTTCTTTTAGTTTATCTCAGTATCTAAAAAATAAAAAAAGTAACGTGTTTTGTGTCTTTATAGCATACATGAAAGTAAAATATATCAAAAGCACAAAGGATTGGAGGGGGAAATTGGGAAAATGTTTTGTAAGATCTTTACTTGTAAGTGGCATATTATTTGAAGATATATTCTGGCTAAAGATATATATTGTAAACCCTAGAGTAACCACTGAGATTTTTTTGAGATATAAACAATTAGTTAATAAAATGGAATAACCAGAAATGCTCAGTTAACCCAGCAGAAAGAACAAAAAGACAAAGAATAGACTGAATAGTTAGAAAATAGTTAAGAGGATGGGTAAATTTTAATCCAAATATATCAAAAACTACATCAAATGTTGGTGGTCTAAATACACACCAGTTAAAAGAAATGTAAGATTGAATGGAAAAGGACCCAACTCTATGCTATTGACTGGAAACCCACCTTAAATATAAAATGCAGAAATCTTAGTGTACAGCTTGATGAATTTTGACATGTACATGCACTCACAACCATCACCCATATCAAGACAGAAAATGTTCTAATTCTTCCCCTCTTACCTGTGTCATCCTTCCCTCCTCCAACATGGCAGCCACCAGTCTGTTCTGTTTGTGAGTCTTTTCAAGTACATATGAAACGTTTCACCAGGAGACCATAAAAATTTTTTTAATAAGTTAAAAAAAATTAATTATACAAAATATATCCTGACCATAACAGAAATAACCAGCAACAACAGTGAGATATCTGAGAATATTGGGAAGATTTAAATGACAAATTCCATTTCTTTAATGGATACAGAACTGTTCTGCTCATTTATTTTTTGGCTACCAAATTTGCATAAATTTCACAGCATTCCCTTAAGGTCCATTCAATAGCTAGAATGTGTACTGATGTCACCTCTGCCATTCCAGGTATTGCTGAGTTGCCTAGTTTCTCTTTGTGTGTGTGTGTGTGTGTGTGTGTAATTAGTCTAAATGAAGTTTTATTATTCATTTGTTTGTTTTACTTTTCATTTCCGTATTTCACTGGTTTATATTCCTTATTTTGGAATATATTCTTTACTGGTTATGTTCCTTATTCTGTGCTGACTTTGGGTTTCATTGCTCTTCATTTTCTACTTTATTAAGATGGAGATGAAGTCATTGGTGTGAGAGATTTCTTTTATTACTTAGTGTTATTATATTTTGTTCTAAGTGTTGAGTTAGCTGCATCCTGCATGTTTTGATCTAGTTCTAAGTTTCATTCAGGTCAAAATACTTTTTATTTTCCCATTTGATTTCTCTTGACCCCTGGGTTACTAAAACTTGTGCCATTTAGGTCCAAATATTTGGGGATATTCTAAGTATCTTTGTTAGTGATTTCTGATTTAGTCCATTCTGGTCAGAGTTAATGGATGTGTTTTAAGGTCTTGAATGTGGTCTGTCTGGGTAAATGTTCTGGGAACATTTGAAAATCTGTGTTTTAGATGTCGGGTTTCTCAGGTGTCATGTAGGTCAGGTTGGCTGATAGGGTTCAAGTCTTCAAGCTGATTCTCTGCTTTTTCTGTTGAGATGCATGTTGAAGTCTCGAACTGTAGTTTTGTGTCTGTTTCTCCTTATAGCTCTATATCAGTTCTTTCTCCAGCTTCAGATATTTTGTCACATGCATGTTCTGGTCAGTATTCAGGTTAAAAAGTGGAGTTTGTATTCAGGTAGGAGTCAGGTAAACATTCTGCAGATGTCTAGGCTTTTCTGTAGCACTCTCAGGCATTTCGTCAGGTGAACTAGTCACCCAGTCCACCTGACTTCTGGCCCATCTCAGTTGAGAGACACTGACACTGCCCAGAAACTCCTTGCAGTCATCTGGGGAAATCACAGTACTCACATCATTTGTTTCCCATTTCTCAGGGATCTTTGTTTTGTTGCCTGATACCCAGTGTCTTGAATACCGAGGTTTTGTATGTTTTGCACCTATTTTAGTGTTTCAGAAGGGAGGGTAAACTATTCCCTGTAATTCCGTCTGCACCGGAAGTGTAGATCTCAAGTGAGCATTTAGTGAGGGCGGGGTCACTACCCTCTCACTATTGTTACCTTGTCCAGAGTGTAGCCATTGTGGGACTACTGGTAAGACAGTTTAGTTGCAAGCTGCTGTGTACCGAGTCCACTTGACCCATGAAATTTAACTTACTCTTGTTACAGGGTCTGGGGCAGCAGCTCCTAATCAAACACAATATTTCTGCAGCAAAGATTTGAATGTCCATGCACTTAGCAAGTCAGTAAATGCTTATGTCAGTCAGTTCAGGTCAGGTTTTCTCTTTATAGGAACTGATTCTCAACCTCCCTGAGCCCCGCCCCCGGTCCATAGGAGTTTGTGAACTGGTCAGTCCAATGCCCCAGCCCCCCTGGTAGAGGGATGTGCACTTGACCCAGACTAGCCAGAGCACCCCATAGCAGGGACTCAGTGATTGGACCAGAGTGGTCACTAGGACAGTCTAAACTGGAACGAGTCATATTCCAGTGGGGACTGATGTGGAAGGACTGATGAAAAGCTAAAGTCTGATATGCACAGATGCCATTTTTTCTCCATGAAAAGACGCAGCCTGCCAGTGACTGAGACAGCTGGAAGCAGAGCTCTGAGCTGCTACTCTGCCGGGCCGGCCTGAGGCTGGCAGTTCTCACCCGGCACCTTTCAGTACAGCAGCTCATGTACTCCTTTCTCCTAAGTTTCAGCTGTTGTTTCTCCATCTATCACCTTTGTAAACTTGAGTTCTGTACGTGAAGGGATTTAACTCATCCAACCAAGTCAGTCATATATTAGCTCCTCTGTTACATTTTAACATAAAACAGCTGACCTTTATTTCTTAGTCTGTCAACTTTAGACATCTCTCGGATCCTATGCACAATGAGAAAACTACCCCCGTTCTGGCTTCAGTCTCTCATTTATCTGTAAACCTCCTGTCATCCATTATATTAGCTGTTTTTGCCTTTTACATTAAGTAAATATTAGATCTGTATACACACAGAGACAGATCTCAGTGATTGGTCTTTAAAGTTGGAAATTACATAGCATTAGATCGTCATCACCATGTAAATATTCTCTGAAGAGTAAGAGCCAAGCAGTGTGTGAAGATGACGTTTTCTCCCCTACAGGACCGGTGTTCTGATCCCAGTCCCCCCTTAAGAGTCTATTCCTAACATCAAATGGGCTTTTCCATAGCCCAGTTAATTCCCAAAACCATGCCACATTTTACTGGGACTTGCTTTATATTAGGTCTCAATACCTACCATGGCCTCTTTTTTGTTTTTCTCGGAGCCAGTAGTTTTACCTCATACCTTGAGAGGCATCTATCAGATTTATTCTGTTTTCTAAAATTACTAGTTACTAATGGGAAGGAAGGCTAATGCTGTCTTGATCTTTTTTAGGACATTTGCATTTTTTGAAAGCTTTTAGGATAGTTTCACATTTAGTATTCTGAAGTTTCATCACCATATTTCTGGCTATTTTTTTCTGTTGTAGTTGGGTTCCTGCCAGCTCAGCTTACTCATCTTCCAGTGAGCTATTCCAAGCTGAACATTCATGACTTTCTTCAGTTTAGAAAGATGCTTAATCACTTATTTGATACATCCCTCTTATTATATTTTCTGTTATTTTTTTCTGGAAATTCTATTAGTTGGACCTTCTGTGTCCCTTTTTTCTTTGTAATTTTCTTTTTAGTTAATACAGAGTTTCTTCAGTTCTCTTTCAAACCATTTACTAGGTTTATTACAGCTACGTAACTTTTTTCATTTGTAGTTCTCTCCTATCTAATTCTTTTCTTGGTAGCTTCCCATATTTGCTTTAAACATGTAACATCTGTTTAAATCTCAAGTTAATGTACATTTTTAGTTTTCTCTTAACTTTGCCCAGTCTGAGTTTAGCTCTCTCTTGGTCCTTGTTATGCTGATAGTTTTCTTCATATGTGATAATCCTTCACTGTTTGCATTTAAGAAAATTCGGTTAGTTTATTGTCTTAGGTAGATACCAGGGGCTGCTTTGGGTATTCCTACTCTAGGTCGGCTTCCCGGAATGGGAAGGGTTACTGGGACCTATCTCTGCGTGGGAAGGGCTGGCAAGCCAATGAGGTTCTCCAAATTCCAAAACAGTTCGTTTAGGTCACCAACTCTCACCCTAACTCTCCTAGTTTTCCCTAAGTTCATTCAATTTTTTTTTGTAGTTTAAATTTAAACTACATTTATAAAATAAATTGTATTACATTCTTGGTTAAAACTTGGAACATAACAGATAACACTAAATCTCTTGACCAAAATATCTAATCCCAGTTCCCTCCCCAGAAGGAAACACTTAGCAGTTGGATGTATCTATTCAGAACTTTTTCTAAGCTTATAAATATATTAGAAATATATGTGACTTATTTTGCAAAATTTGCTTTTTCAATCAATGTCTTTTAGTCAAATCCTTATCAATATCAGTCCATTCTTTCAGATGCTGGTAATATTTCTGGTCATCTGTGGATAGATTTAAATTGTTTCCAGTGTTTTGTGTTCTAACCATACTGCCCTCCAAAGCGGCCAAAGTGGCAGTGATGAGTCTCGGTTCTCCACACGCTACCAGTTTTTTATGTTACATTATATAAATTTACATCTCAATACAAGTGAGGTTAGACAGGGACTCATATTAATTGATCATCTGTATTTCTGTGATTTGCCCATTCTTATCCTTTGTCCATTTTTATATTCTCTTAGTTGTCCTTTACCTACTTATGGTTATTCTTATGTCTTCCCTTTATATTATTACATTTTCTGTTGCTTTTAACTTTGTACTAACTTTTGATATAATCCGCTTCATTCATCCTTTCCTTTATGGCTTTCATTTTTGTTTTAGATAAATCCAATGCCAAAGTCATAAACATATCCTGTATTTTCTTCTAATACTTTTATTGTACATTTAGGATTTTATTTAACTGTAATTCACTTTTGTGAATGGTGTGAAGGATCCTGTTGAATTTACTTGAAGATTTTTGAGAATTTTTTAAGTTACTAGAAGAGGGCAGAATGGAGAAGCTGTTGGCAGGGGTACTGACATGACTTTAACATAGGAAAGCATTTAACAGTCTTGTCATTGTATCTCCATTTTAATGCTTACATTCAGACTGAAATGATAGCAGCTTCTGCTACATGTCATGAATTCTCCCCCCTGTATATCTTATAAAACTTAACTCATCCATTGATGACCCCTCTTTTATGTTTTGTTTAGTACCTTTCACATTGTTTTCTGTTTATTGGGATATGGAGGAAAGACAAACTTGTGTGCTGCCAAAGGATATCTTGGGTGTTCCCAGTGAAAATTCTGATATTGATAAGTTGAGTTTCAGGAAGGTTTAAAATTTATACTCTCTCACATCAACACATGGAAGTATCTCTGTTCCTATGCTTTTGCAAATGCTTAATGACTCTGATATTTAAAAATGCATAGTTCATTAGTTTAACTTGTATTTCTTCTGATCCTACTGATTCATCACTTACCACATTTATCAGTCACCTCTTGCCTCTTTATACCTCTGGAGAAGTGTCATTTTCTAAGTGATTTGTAGAAGAAACATTTTTATGTTAAGGATTTCACAGATTACATAGTTCTAATAATTTCTCCAATTTTGGTGGTCAAAACCTTTTGTTTATACTATCTTTGTCTATAAAAAAAAGCTTAGTAAAGTTCTTACACAAACCTAGAATCTTCATGTTGTGGCTTCTGGGTCTCATGTCATGTTCAAGGTTGTTCTCATTCCATGATTATAAAGTACACTACAGTGTCCTCTAATAAACTGTTTCACATTTGATAAAAGAATGGGGATTGTTTTTGTACAGAGCAGAATCAGTTTTACCAATACTACTAGGCCATTGATGTGAAATATCAAACTTTCACCACTTTCTTTGTACCTTAGTATTCACATTTGAATTGGTTACGGCATTGATTGCATGCTCAAATCCTTCAGGAATATAAAGTGTAGGGCAAGTCGGACGTAAGGGAGCAAGGAATTGTTTGGACTGTAGAGAACTGTAAAATACATGCCCAGGTACAGGTATTCATTGCACACCAAATCAGCATTTTTGTGGGCAGCCAGTTTGAGTATTTACCTTTAGTTTTGGTTTCCTCTCTAGATTTGGAATTGTAGCTTAGAAGCTTAACAGCTTTCCTGTTTTAAATGATACAGGTTTAATATAATTCATCCACCTGGAATTAGGAGAAGGGGTCACTTTACAGCTGATCCTTGAACAACATGGGCTTGAACTGTGTAGGTCCACTTACATGTGGACTTTTTTCAATAAATATATTAGAAAACTTTTTTGAGGTTTGCAACAATTTGAAAAACATTTTCTCTTACTCTTGTAATACAGTATATGATACATTTAACAAAAATATGTAATTGTTATCACTAAGGCTTCTGATCAACAGCAGGCTATCAGTAAAGTGTTGGGGAATCACAAGTTACACATGGATTTTTGTTGTGTGGGGGACTGTTATTATTAACCCACATGTTCAAAGTTAGCTATAGTTTTCATTTTTCTTAGGCTACTGATCTGCTTAAGTTTTGGTGTTTTTTTTTTGGTCTAGTTTGCCTTTGTTTACATGTAAGTGATGAACACATCTCAGTAAATTCCATTTATTACCAATGATACTTAAAGTGTGTCTTCTTAGAGCTGCTGAATATCTACTGAAGTTCATTTTACCAGCAGTCATCTCTGTACATTCATGCTGAAACAGACCCCCATCTTACTCTGTATCATGGGCTCCAGTGTCAAGCCTACTGTATTAAATGCCATTGTCACCCACCTTTATAACAATGACAACTGTTTCTAATAAAAAATCTAGTCTTGAATCTTAAGCTGTTGCTGCTTGTTCTGATGGTCCTTGCTGAGATGATCAGGTCTTTGTATAGCACTGGATCTTCTTACTGTGCATTGTTTATTGAGGGATTACTTACGCTAGGCACTCTGCTGAACAATGTACATGCATTATCTCATTTAGTCCTCCCACTAACTTTGAGGTAGTACCATTACTATTCCCACAATATAAATAAGACTGAAGCTTACAAAGGACAAAATATTTCTCCCAAACTAGAAGGCTAGGAAATGGAAGAGCACAATTGGAATCCAGATCTAAGTATTTGATGCTGGAATAAGAGTTCTTAGTTCTGATAAGTAGCCAAGGAATGAGACAAATATTGACATGAAATGGGGTTTGGAGTGTAGACTGGAAAAAGTTGTGTGGCAGGATCTTTTAGGCTGTCTTGAGGCTGTGTACTTTTAACATAAGAACTATAAGATGCCAGATGAGAGGTTTTAATGAGGGGAAGTAATATGATCAAACTTAATACGTTTGTCTGCAGTGTAGACAACTGACAAAGGAAAGGGTAATTAATGCAGGCAAGACTAATTAGAAAGCTCTTTCCATAGTCCATGTCAAATAGATTATTGTATATTGGACAAAGATGATGGAATAGAACTGGATTAAGAAAGTCAGATTCAAGGCATATTTATGAGATAAAACCTACAGGTCTTGGCAACTGACTGGACATGGAGTGTGAGGGAGAGGAGAGAGTCAGGAATGACTCCATTGTATGAATTCTCTCATGATGAGCAAGATGTGCACGCTGCCTAAATGATTTCCTGCAATCCTTACATTCATAGGGTCTCTCTCCAGTATGAATTCTTTGATGTAGAGTAAGAGATCCACTATAGCTGAAGGCTTTCCCACAAATGTTACATTCATAAGGTTTCTCTCCAGTATGAATTCGTTGATGTTGAGCAAGGCCTGCATTCTGGCTAAATGTTTTCCTACATTCCTTACACATGTAAGGTTTTTCTCCAGTATGACTTCTCTGATGTTGTGCAAGTGATGAACTATTGCTGAAGGCCTTCCCACATTCAATACATTCATAGGGTTTCTCTCCAGTATGAACTCTCTGGTGTTGATCAAGGTATGCAATCTGGCTGAAGGCCTTCCTACATACCTTACATTCATAAGGTTTTTCTCCAGTATGAACTCTCTGATGTTGAGCAAGGTGTGCATACTGGCTGAAGGCTTTCCTACATTCCTTACATTCATAGGGTCTCTCTCCAGTATGAATTCTCTGATGCACAATTAGGTATCCACGATGGCTAAAGGCTTTCCCACACACATTACATACATAAGGTTTCTCTCCTGTGTGAATTCTCTGATGCTGAGCAAGAAATGAACCATTGCTAAAGGCCTTTCCACATTCGATACATTCAAAAGGTCTTTCTCCAGTATGAACTCTCTGATGTTGGGTTAGGTGTGCAATCTGGCTGAAGGCTTTTTTACATTCTTTACACTGATAAGGTTTCTCTCCGGTATGAACTCTCTGATGTTGAGCAAGGTGTGCATTCTGGCTGAAGGCTTTCCTACATTCCTTACATTCATAGGGCTTCTCCCCAGTATGTATTCTCTTATGCTGAGCTAGGTTTGCACTCTGGCTGAAGGTTTTCCCACATTCAACACATGCATAGGGCTTCTCTCCAGTATGAATTCTCTGATGAAGAGTAAGAGATGAGCTCTGGTTGAAAACTTTCTCACATTCATTACATTTCAAAAGTTTCTTTTCTACATAGACTTTTTTATGCTTCATTTCAGATTTTTTTCGGTAACTTCTCTTTTGGGGCTCATGCTTACGTCCTCTTCCTTTGGTGGGAAAACACTGTTTCATATCAAATCTTGCATCCTGATGGAATGCTTGCCAAGATTTGGTATAGTCATTGCTTTGATCTTCAGTGAGGATTTCTTTATGGGAGATGATCAACTGACCAGAATGTACCTCCTGATTTCCCAAGTGGCTCTTAAGCCAGTCTTTACTTTCACAGTCCCTTCTCACACTGGGGCAGTCAACACTGTAACTAAGATAGCTTGTCCCCTTTGTTACTACTTGGGATGGTTCTTCACAAATAGCTTGCTTTGATGAAAACATACTGTTTTTAAATGCATACTCCCCATCTAAAAGATAACAAGAAAATAAATGTCTTTTGTATTTATTAGAACTTTAAAACAAAAATTGGTGAATAAAATACAAAAGAAGTTTGAGCATTTAATATTTAAAAGTATGAGATTATAAAGAATGAGAAATTAATAAAATTAAGGAAATATATTGTACATAACCAGTAAGGTAACTATCAGAAAAATTTAAATTGAAGAAGTCATCAGTCTCCAAGCACCCTTCCTCTCTTGCCTTAGTTTATCCTGCATTCAAGCTAAGTTCGTTATCTTTAAAAAAATCAATTTCATGATATCAGTGTGGCCAAAAACCTCTGAAAGATCTCCAGATCCAAATATACACCAGGTCCCATTAGTTACCAAAGGTTGTACATGAACTCTGTGGTTAAACTTTCAGCCTGAAAAATGTCTGTCTGAATATCATTTTCTATGTAATATACTCCAACCAAATGTAAACTTTCAATTGATACTAAAGATAAGATGCCTTCATATGAACGTAATTTTGTCTCAAACTGCTTGATTTTCCTAACATGCCTTGGGCCTTACTTTGCCTTCCCTTCTTCATTCCCAAATCAGATCACCTATTCTGCTCAAGACTTTTCAATGGTTTCTCACCGTATTTATAATAAAACCAAAATTCGTAAGACCTGTAATAAAATTATAGCAAATCCAGGAAAATAGGAAAGCATAATATAACCAGGGAGAGTTTATCCCAACAATGGAAGTTGGTTTAGTATGTGAAAATCCATGTAATTCACATTAACAGATCAAAGATGGAAACCCATATGATCATTTCAACAGATGTTATTGTTTGATGTAAAAAGTATTTGATTAAATTCAAAACCTATTATAAAAACTCCCAGCAAACCAGGAATAGAAATGAACTGCTTCAAACTGATAAAAGGGCATCTAAGAAAAACCTTTAACTAATATCCACTTAAATATAAAAGACTGAATAGTTTCCCTTAAGATTGAGAACAATGAAATTATATCTGCTGAACACTGGATAGGAGGTCCTAGTTACTACAAAGCCAAGAAAAGGCAATAAGGATCAGAAAGGAAGAAATAAAACTACTTGCAGATAACATGATTGTACAAAACCCTCAGGAACCTAAAAAACAACTACTAGAACTACAAATGACTCTAACAAGGTCATAAAATATAAAGTTAATATACAATTTACATTTTTGCATACTAGCAGCAAACAATTGGATAACAGAATTTTTAAGAAGTCTATTATAATAGCACCAAAAAAAACCTAAAAACTGTGAAAGACTCTGGAAAATTTTTTTTTAGATATGGAAGACCAACATACTAGTTCTGTAATACACTGAATTCTACAGAACATTGCTTAGAGAAACTAAGGAAGATTGTTTTAAAAATGGCTAACTGTATTTGTGAACTGGAAAACTTGATGTTAGGATGTCAGTTCTCCCCAAACTGATATATAGATTCAACATAATTCCAATCAAAATCCCAGGAGCTTTTGGGTAGAAATTCTCAACTTCATTTTAAAACTCACATGGAAAAGAAAATTATCTAAAATAGTAATTTATACATTGAACTATCTGATACCAAAATTTACTCTAAAGCTATAGTAATCAAGACAGTATGATATTGGTGAAAGGACAGATATATAGATCAATGAACAGAACAGAGTTCAGAATTAGACCAGTACATATATGGTAAACTGCTTTTAAACAAAAGTACTAACAAAGTAATATAATGGGGAAGGGAAAGTCTCTTCAACAGTGGGTACTGGAGCAACTGTATCCAAATGGAAAAATAACCTCAACCTCAGACAAGACATAAAAATTAGCTCAATAGATCATATACCCAAACCTTAAAAGCTTTAAAACTATAACATTTTAAGAAGAAAATACTAAGCAAAAATTTCTTATATATGACACAAAAAGCATCAACCAAAACAATAAACTGGGCTTTACAAAAATTGGAAACTTTGGACAGTCAGAAGGCAGCAGCAGACAAACAACACAAGCCACATTTGGCATACATATATTCCAATACAAATAAATAACAAAAGACTTCAATTAAGACTGTAAATTAAGATTATATAAAGAATTCTTACAAACAATAACAAAAACACAGTGTCGGAATCTATGGAAGACAGACAGCTGAAGCTATATCCAGAGGAAAATGCAAAGTCCTTAATTTCATTAGTGATAAGAGAGAATGAAACTGATTAAACTTTTGTTTCACCAAAACAAAGAACAAAATAAACCTAAGAAAACCAGAAGGAAAGAGTAAAGAGAAAGCAGAAATTAGAGAACTGTAAAAGAGAAGAATGGTTATGCTTGCTAATAGATAAATCCATTTGGATTTAAAAAATAAAAATAAAACTTATTAATGAATAGCTACCTAATAATTTTTTAAAAAACATTTTTACAAAATAAATTACCATTGGAAACTACTATAGATATAAAAGATTTATAACAGATTATTTACTCAAATTCATGGAAATAAATTTGATAACCTAAATGAAGAGGACAATTATCTAGAATAAGAAAAATTTATAAAAGTTAACCCAAGAAAGAAACTGTAGAGAGGCCATTTATCAGAGAGGACATGGAGAAGTCGCCAACAATCCATCTCCCCATAAAGGCCCCAGTACCAGGGTGTGTCTCTCATACTCCAAGGTTAGTGATCTCATTCTTTCACACTAACATTTCTGAACCCAACTGTTTTTTCTGAGCCTTCATGGCACGTTGTATTTCCTCACCTGGAAATGCCCTGATCTCATAAAAATAAGTCTCAGACAAATAAGTCTCAAAAATGTGTCCCAAGTCAAACTGACCATCTTTTCCTATCACAATCTATTCTTCCTTCTGACTTGTTTTTATTAAAATGTATCACCATCCAGTTACCCAAACTTGAAAACACAACTGGAAATGCTTTCCTTTTTCTTTGGTGGTTTATAAACCTCTGAATAATCCCAAGAATTTAGCAGAATGATTTTTTTTTTAGAATTGAAATGTAACTTTATTTTAATTGTAAGCCATGTGTGCACATTCTTTTTTACATTCTTTTTTTTTTTTCAGAATGATTTTCTTAAAGTAGAAGCTCAATGAGTCTTAGTAAAAGAAAAGTAAATAAATGAATCGGTCTTTCAACCTAAAAGGAATGAGTGACTGAAAAGGAGAAAAATAGCCGTTTCTGTCGATTTTTAAAAATGTGATGGAACAACTTGTGCAAAACCAAAAAGCAAGGCCAGGTTTCTGTGACATGTAGGTCATTCTGTGATCCAGAGACTAGGAAAAAGTTATCAGAGAACACAGTAATATGGGAAAGAATATATATACAAAGACAAGTTGGGGAGCTCATGCTAAAGGTGCCTCAGTGTTTCTTCCAGGTCTTAAGCCTTTAAGAAAGCTACCTGGGAAACATCAGTTATGAGCTGGAACCTTTCAGAATAGCTGAGCTTTTCCTTGCAATGGCCTCTACCTCCCTGGTTCTCCCACTCACCAGGGCATGTGCCTCTTGTCCCCTCCTTCTTCACCATCCAGGGCTCCTTTCCTTGTTCCAATAATGAGATCACATCTGGCTTAGAAACTGAAACTCCTGCTTACAAGAGATAAAAGGGGAATTAGGCCCATAAATCAAGTTCCCTGGTCCTCAGGAAGGCAGGGAATTATTCAAGGGAGTTGAGGAAGAGGTGAAGTATTCTGAAGAATGGGCAAGATGAATTGCAGGAATAATGTATTGAAGCTGCCAGTTCTACAAAATTCAACCTATTTGGGGAGCACGAAAAAGAGAAATCTAGTGAAGTACATCACAGTCTTCCCAAACATCCACTGAAAAGCAGCCACGTATGCAGATCGTTCATTAAGAAACCGCCTCACCTAGCGATACCAGGCTCCGGTAGTTCTCCAGCATCACCTTCCGGTACAGAGTCCTCTGCGCGGGGTTCAGCCACTCCCATTCCTCTGGAGTGAAATCTACAGCCACATCCCCAAAGGTCACCAAATCCTGAAATGACAAACATTCTTGCTCAACTTACCTTCACGTGGGTATGGTTTGAAGAGTTAAATTGTCTATGCTTTTGGAGAGCTAGACTTCTCTGTGCTCACTTTTGCTATTAGATAATGGGAAGTAATTTTCAGAGAGTCTCTGCTGATGGAAGAAAGATTTATAACACAAAACAGGCAGTAACAGAACACTGGAAAAATCACATGTAAAATCATATATATCACTCATACTAAATACTAGAGCATTCCTCAATATGGGAAATCAGCACAGACTTGGGGCAGTGAAGAAAGGCTTCAAGGAGGACACAAGAACACGAGTTAAGCCTTCCAATATGTACATAGTGTAAACTGGCATTTTTGCAAACTCTAAAATGGAATGGCCGATATTCCAGCTGTATCAATAGGATATATATAAATATATTCGGTGCTTCTAATATTAATTTCCTAAATTTAAGTATATATGTAATAAAATAGTAAACAAGTTTTATAATGACTTTGCAAAAATATAACTTAAACAAATGTACGCCATGACAGAGAACCAGGGTGACAAAGACTGTGATAGCTCCTGACAGCCCCACTGAGTTTCAGAGATAGTAACTTATTATGCTACCTAAGAGAAGAAAATAATTTTAAGAACATTAACTTTAGTAGTGAACATTTCAAATGTGATAATGAAGTACATCAAAAAAATACAGCTCTAACTGGAGGAACATATCCAATCGTGCATGTCTAATGAGCAAGGGAGCTCTTTTTAATGTTACATCTCTCAAACATATCAGTACCCAATATGTCAGTAATTACATTAAAAGAAAATATACTAAACACTATTTAAAAGACAAGGATCATCAGACTAGATTGTTAAAAACCAACGTTTTAGGGGAAGAGGTGGGATTGTGGGAGGCACACAGGTTTGAGTGCCCACTGTGGGCACAGAGAAAAAAATCCCAACTATATGCTGTTTAAAAGGTGTACTCTAAATATAATCTTTAGAAATGCAGATTCTCAAAAAGTATGTATTGAAGTCATCCTGGAACTCAATAAAAATTCAGTTTCCTAGGGCTCACCACCAGAGACTGATCCCAGGTCTGGGAAGGTGTCCCTGGGCTGATGGGTTCTGTCTGCTCTGTACATCATACCCTCTGTTTGCTCTTCCCATTACCAACTCTGTGGCACGAGAGAAGACAGAGCTGGCACTTGCCTCCCTCGTCTCACCACAGATGAGGAATTCGTTCCTTGGTTCACTCAAGAAGTAATTTGGAAAGTACTTACTCAGTGCCTGCTACCTGTACTGTTCTAAGAGCTGGGAATACACAGGTAAACAAAGTAGTCTTCCTTCCCCTTGCAAAGTTATTATTCTAACAGAGGAGAAAGAAATTAAACAAGGCCATACAACGTCACATAGTGTAGGAAGAACAGGTGAGATGATTGAGAGGTAAAGGGGTGTTTGTTTTAGATAAAGATGGTAAAGGCAACCCTACATAAAGGGGTAAGCCATGCCAACATCTCAGGGAAGAGCATTAAAGAACAGGGAAGAGCAAATGCAAAGCTTCAAAGACAACAGAGCTTGGAAGTGTGAAGAACAGCAAGTGGACCAGTGTTACTGGAGCAGAGAGAGGTAAAGACTTGTGGAAAATGAGGTCTGGGGCAGCCAGAGGCTGGATCAGGTAGGGCCTTTCAGGCCGTGGTAAGGACACCGGATTTCATTCCAAGTAAAATGGGAGTTTCCAGGCAAAGGAGTGACCCCAAGTGCTCCATCCCTCTGGGCACACTGCTCCACAGCACCCTTCACTACCACTCTCTTCAAACCACAAGCCATCACCTTGTGTTACTGACCCTCGACAACACTACAGTGTTCTACTTCTGACACGGTTGCTAACTCGTGATGTCGATGCATCACTTTCCTCCCTTGGCCTCTTTCCTCATCTGTAAAATGAGTGAGCTGGACAAGATCACCGTCATTTTCTTCCTGGCTTTATCATTGTATGAGGCTAGAGCCGTGCTGCCCACTACACTAACCACTAGCCACAGGTGGCTATTTAAATCAATTAACATTAAACATTCAGTTCCTGAGCCACGCTAGTACGAGCAGCTGCCGGCTGCCATGTGTAGCTCTGTACTAGCCCACGCAGACGGCGGACATTCCCACCATCAGTCACCACAGCACGTTCTGCTCGATGGGCTGCTCTGTGGACTTCTGCTTGGGCTCATCTTATTCTTTACAACCACTTTGTGGGTTTTCATCTAGCGGTTTTGTTTTTTTATATTTAACCTACAGGATTATTTACCCTCAAAGTGTGAGGAAGAAACCGTTCTAAATGAAAAAATCCATGATTAATCCATCCTTTCTCTGCTGATTAAAAAAAAAATCATTGCATTATCATGTAAGGCACTAAATTCCACGAAGACAAAGACAGTGTCTATTTTTATTCACCACAGTATTGCCAGCACATAGCATACAAAAATTCTTTAGTAACTACAGGCTCAGTGAATGCATAAATATTTTCCATTCTTATTTGTGCTTGCATTTGTGTCTAGATGTTATATGCTGGTCCTTTCTTCTGGCTCCATTCCACATTATTTACTGTTTTCATTGTTATAGATATATGGAGCCATTTTGAAATGTCCTTTCAAGTATTCCCTCCCATTATTCTCCTTATAAAAAAAAACTTGCTATTTTCCCATACTAATTCCACTAATTTTAACTGGATGACCTAGAATATCCTAGCTGTAGCCCACTGCTAACTCAGGATGTCCCTAAAATGGGACCTTCAAAGCCCAGAGTGTTGAAAAAAATCCCTGTGCCAGCTGACCCACACTTGTCATACTCGCAACCCTACATACCCGGCTCCTCAAAGTCACCTTGAGCAAGAGACCTTATCACCATCACCAAGACTTCCCAGGAGCCCTTGTCTTGCCTTCCTCTTAAACCCAGGTCTGTGGACAACCTCTAAGCTTGTGGTCTTCCCTGAACACACACCTCGACCTCACTGAATCAGGTCCCCCTATATTGGAGGCTTTCATAGCCCACCAAAGTGCACTTTTTGACTCCTGAGAGCTCCCAACAAAACACCTAACCCCTGGAAGGTACTAAACTGTTTTTGAGGTAAGATGAAAATTCTGGTGGTGAAAAAAGGAAGCTCACGGGCTTTGGAGGACCTCCTTTTACTGGACTGGAGAACATGAGGGCCGGGTCAGTGAATGAATGGAACTTTGTTACTGGGGAATTTCAGAAAAGCAAGATGTTTGTATAAAATCTGAAAAGGCATTTCAAGGAAGAAAGAGGAACTGTTTCCTTACCTTGGACATGGCTGTAAGAATCTAACAGTTCATGACAGGTCTTCTGCCCTCTTTCAGGCTCCTCTCTGGGGGAAGGGCAGTGTCTGGAGAACAGAGCTGGACAGGGAGAAAGAAAGAATAAAATGCCAGGCCCGCCTCAGCTCCAGTATGTCCAGCCTGGAAACCCTCCTTTCCTCCCCTACCAGAAGATCGGAGGGGTCACTGAAGTGGCCGTTCCTGTCTAAATTTGATTCTTTTTCCCATGTGCTTTAGATGTCAAGAAGGCAATGTAAACTTTGTGTGCGTACGTCACCTCCTCACCTACATTATAAACGACAACAGTATTTTCCTTTCGGAGGGGCACCAAGTAGGGATTCTCTCTCCCCTTTACACATGAAGGCTCTTTACCAGTGAGATTATCAAGGCTTCATGCAGTAAGTGAGGCCAGCGGGGATCCAGGCCCGACTTTTTAGTACTGCCACCAGATGATGTTGCTGAAATACGTCCCCACCCTTTCTACAAAGATGAGATGAAGTCACAAAGTGAATGTCCCAGAGAAAGGATCTTGACACAGAGTGGGCATCAGAGCAGTCATGTGGTGCGGAGGACACCTAGCTTCTCGTCCCAGCTTACAACAAACTGCACCTGAAAACCAATCTTTCAACTTTTCTGAACAACTTCCATCAACGGTTGGGGAGAGGGCATGAAGTCATGGAAACCTCTTCATCATGAGTTATTTTCCACTAACCCTACTGTCTTGGAAAGTAGAGCAAGTATCTCAAGCAGAGTAACTTGGTGGTAAGGACCACCAGGTGTGGGGATCGGAACCCCTACAAATGCGCGGCCCACCCCCGCCAGCTGTGCAGCGCGCCGTGAGCTAGGTCACCCCTCGGATCCTGTTCCTCCATCAGTGCGATGGCATGTATCTACTGTATCGACTGTTGGAAGGGTGGTGGTAGCACACAGTGGGTCTCCCCTTCCACCTCCCCCTTCAGTGCCTCACACACCGCGCAGACGAGGAAGGCCCTGCCCCTGTGCCACGGGGCGAAGGTCCGTCCGCTCCCCGCTGAGCTGGGCTCGCGCCCGGTCTCCTCTCCGTCCGCGGCCGCCTCTCCTCCATCGCAGCGTCTGCCCACAGCGCGGGCTTCCACGCGCCAGGCCCGCGGCCCGCGCAGCACCGCCCGCCGCCAAGCCACAGTCCCGCGGCCGGCAGCCGCCGCACAGCGCCCACCAACGCTGTCACCGTCGGGCCACGCCGGCCCACGCAGCGTCACGTGAGCACGCCCGGCCGCACGCGCGCTGTCACAGGCACCGTCACGTACATTCCCACAGACCCACAGCGACACGTTGCCCCACAGCCTCATACACGCGCCGAACTGTTCACTCGGTGACGCGGTCTCACCGTCACATATTCTCAGTGTCTCACACGGTCCCGCACCCGGCGACACGGTCTCACGCTGTCACAGGCCCGCACACGCCCGCTCCAGCCCTGCAGGCCTCCCCAGGCACGCGCCGCCCCCTGCCTCCTCACCGCCTCCTCCCCGGGCCGCCACCTCCCTCCGCGCGGTCCGCGGAGGCCGGAGCCCAGCGCCCCCAGCCGGGGCGGGGCCTGGATGTCGGTTGGGCCGGCGGCTTCACAAAGGGCGGCGGCGCTCGGGCGGCAGCGGGGCGCGCTGCAGGGGCCGCTGGGAAGTGGAGTCCGGGGCCGAACGCGGAGCATCCTGGGACTGCTCGCCGAGGGCACCGCCCCGGCAGTTGGTCCCGCCTCGTCTGTTTCCAGCAGTCTCCCCCGCGCTCCCTGAACCCGGAGCTCCCCACCCAGAACCAGGACTGGCTCAGCGGGTCAGGCCGTTCGACCCATAGCGCCCCCGCCGATCCCGCCCAGGCCCAGGACAGCCGGCTTGGACTGCGCAGGCGCAGATTGCTCTGTTCCCGAAGGCGACTAGACCCCGTGCGCGCGCCCAGTGCGCAGGCGCAGTGGGCGGGCTCTCGCTCTCTTTCCCCGGCTTAGACTCCAGGCCGGGTGCTGGTAACCCAGCTGGCTGGCCCCTGTGTGTGTGCCTGGCGTGCTGCGGAGGGTCCCGAGCCGTGGGTGTAGGCAGAGTAGGATGAGTGCCTCCGGAGAAAAAAAGTAGAGCAAGGTAATTACAGTCAAAACTGTAACAATGTGCAAAGGAGTTCCTATCGAAATGTGTTAAGCTTTATGCAAAGCCAGTCACACTAATTCTCTAGGGTAAAGATACCAGACAACTAGGAATATAGACATCTTCAGTGAGATCAATTACAGCTCAAAAGGCCAGGAGCAACTTGGCCTGGAATGTTTTGAGTGTTCTGCAGATAAAGAGAAATGTCTCAGCATAACCCGTGGCTTCACTGTATCAATTAGATAATGACACTGTAAAATTTACCTTAGCTTGCAAAAAGGCCCAGCTTATTTTTAACTGTACCTGTATGCTGTGTTTCCTTCTCTGATCCTAATCAAGTAATCGCAACCCGAGCAAAAGATTAACTTGGTTAACAAGCCCAGCTATAAACATCCCAAAAAGTTAATAAGTAAGATTCTTAGCACACTTCAGCAAACAGGCAACAATTCAGCCCACCTTGGGGGCAGGGCAGGCAGTCTTAATTGACTTGTTCCCAGAGGGAAACTGCTATCCTGAGAAAGAATCAGAGCAGAAAATTTCTGTTACTCACCAAAAATGGGCATTCTGGGCCACTCAACAAGTATGCACCCCTAGCCCTTTACCCCTATTCCTGAAAATCCTCAACCGACTATAAATCCCCTAGACAATGAGCTGACCATGGGCTCTCTTGTCCCCTCCTGGCCTGAGCCAGGAGCTCTGTCCTCTCACTTCATCTCTAAATAAAAGCCTCTACCTGGCTCTCCTGCCTCAAGTGCTTGCGAAGTTCATTCTTTGGCTCCGTGAACAAGAACCCCGGCATCACCGGGAGGATGTATTTTAAGTATTAAAATACTCAGAGTACATTTGAATGTGTTTTCTTCTAGTTAACTGAGAGAGAATCATAAAACAGGAAAAACAGTATATAGACTTGTCAGTATTAAGAGCAAACACTGGGTTAATCCCGAATAATTGCTGTTAGTGAAAAATAAAGTTTTTGTTTCCTTCATGATCTAGATTGCATCTCAGAAGAGCTATGGGAGGTTCCTGTGGACGTGGTCGTGCAGGGAATAAACAGCTAAAGGTCAGAACACACTTTGTTGATTAAGTTCTTGTTTGGAGCACCATGCGGTACAGACCGAGGTCTCCCCACAGTGGATCCCATTCATGTGATAATGGCTGGTCCCATTTCGGGGAGAAAGATGGGAGAAGCATGACTGTAGCCGGGGTCAATGAGGAGGAGCTGTGGTCACTCTGCACGTGCTTTGAGAGTGACCTCTTGGAAAGTCATTGACAAGGCAACTGTGCATTTGAGAGAAAGGGAGGCACGGAGACATTAATTTACTCTTTAAAGTCAGGAACTGTGGCGGCCAGCCGCCAAGATGGCGCTCGGCGATCCTTGCCTCCTAGTACTCACATCCTCGTGTAGTGCTGCCCACACGGGCTCAGTCAGAGCTCATTTATGTGGCCCACAAGGTATGGTGCTGCGTGACTTCAGAGGCTTGGTCACAAAAGACATTGGAACTTCTGGATCATTCTAGGGGGAGCCAGCCGCCATGTCATTAAGGCACTCAATCAGCCCTACGGAGAGGCCCGCAGGGAGTGGACCTGGGGCCCTTGTCTACAGCCAGCACTAACCTGCAAGCCATGTGGGTGAGACCCCTGGAAGCAGATATTCGGGTCCCGGTTAAGCCTTAGTTGACTGAAGCCCTAAATGACATCTTGACTGCACCCAGCTAAGCTGCTCCCAAATTCTTGACTCACAGATACTGTGAGAGAGAAATGTTGACTATTGTTTAAGCCATTAAGTTTTGGGGTAATTTGTTGCATGACAATACATATCTAATTAGAAATCAAAGAAATTAAAATAATAAGAGACTACATCAGAGAATAAAAAATAGATCCGAAGGACCCAACACGAGTTTTACAATTAGGAAACAAAAGAGATGAAAGAGAACTCTGTAGAAGAAAAATTTTAGTCGTTCTTTTAGAATAACCACGTAATGTAATTATTTATAGGTCATGAAGAAAAAAGTTTTCTTCAAAGTATACATTTTACAGATAGTAAATTGATTCATCACAGTACAGCATAACAAATTCCCAAGAGATTGAAGCAAATATTTTAAAATATCCCTATAAAGTTCTACAGAAAAATAAAGATGAACATTTGTAATTTAGGGGTAATTTATTTTGAGCAAAATAAAAAAGAGGGCAAGGAAAAGCTGGATTTGCCTCAGTACGTAACTGAATACAAACTAGTTACATGATAAAAATGTTTTCTAATCTAAGATTCTGGCCCACACATACCCCCTAAAATGATACTCATTATTTCTACTTGTCTAACAGGCATTTCAAACTATTCCACTGCAAACCAAACACTCACTCTTAACCCCCACAGACATATTCCTCTCTGGGTCTTCCTAGCCCAGTTAGTGATGTTCCCATTCTTCAGAATTCCCCGGAGTTACCCTTGACTAGTCCTCTCTCTCTTGCTACTCCACCCAGTAAAGCTGCACATCTTGTCAGCTCCACCTTCATACACAGAATCTACCTCCTCCCCGCCTTCTCTGCAACCGTCGATCGCCTTTCTAGATTAGGGCTGAGGTGGCTGGTCAGTGGAAAAGATGATTGGCTCAGAGCCACAGTCACTTCTGGAAAATGTAGTTCGGAGCCCCACAGGTCAGGAGAAACAGAAGGCAGCTCATTTAACTGCTGAGATCTCAGTCCAGTCTGGTCATACTGGCTGGCCACAAATGCCCCGTCCTTACTCGGGAACTTGGGGGTTCCCTGCCTTCAGCCTTGTTAGGGTTTTGTGATTCAGCTCAAATTCGTTCCCAGTTAGATCGTCCAGCTGCCTTATGCTCATGGCCTCAGGAGGTCCAGCCAACCCCACTGCAGGATTGACCAGAAGCCCCGATGTTAATTGTCCCCTCTGGTCACTTCTTAGAAGCATCCTGCACAGCACAAGCCTGGAATGGCCACGTGACCTCCTCTGGGCTTCCTTGCACCTTCCGTCTTCCAGATCCCAGCCCAGAGCCCGCATTCTCTTTGGTTCTATTTTCATGAGGCCACTGTGACATAATAAAGCAAATGTCTTCCGTTCTCCAAGGCTCCATCACACTGGCCCATCCACCACTCTGAAGGCAGAGTCAGCATTTCCCTACTTTTTGGCACAAGAAGATATTCCAAACTCATCATGTGTTTCCCTGTCCCAGTCCAGAATCAGACATTTGTTCAAGAAGCTCTGGTTCTGGAGGCAGGTAATAGAGGAAGGCAGACAGGTAACAGTTCAGGACCCCTGTAAGTTTCAAAGCCTTTGTAGGTTTTAAGAAGTTTCGGGCCCCTTGTTTCAAAAATCTCCAATCAAATTCAGCCAAAAAGTACTTAGTAAGATAGACCTCAACTCTGATTGGTTATGCCCTATGTGAGCTGATTGGTTATGCCCTGTGCAAATGAAGCATTGTACTTTCAGCCAATCAAGAGTGGGTTGTGATGTCATCAGTTCAGGGTGGGACATCCTCCTCTCAGGAGGCAATGTAAACTGCAGACCCCCACAACATCCTCCTTTGGAGCCCCTCCTAGGCAGCAGGAACTTTATCCTTTCACTCATTAAAAGAGCTTTGCTGGTTCCTCCATCCTCTTTGTCTGCTGACTTCATTCTTTGTCGCCTCTGAGACACAATCCTGGGAAAAACAGTAGCGTTCTCAGCTGGTAATAGTTCCTTTTATTAGAGAATGGTATTTAGAAACCAAGGTCTGGGCGCTAGGTTTATGCTCATTGCTATGGAGCATCATTGCGTCCAGGTCCATTTACCAGAATAAGCAGAAAACACACAAAAAAATTTTTAAGTAATAATAAGACTTTAATGAATAAATTTAAACTTTTTAAATGTTTTTGACTTACAGAAAAATTGCAATGATGGTAGAGAACTCCTGTATACCTTGCACCCAGTTTCCCCTGATGAACATCTTTCATTATTCATATGGTATTTGTGTTACAATTAATGAACCAAATATTGATGTTATTATTAACTAAAGTCCATACTTTACTCAGATCTTTCTTCATTTTTATCAAATGTCCTCTTATGTTCTAGGATCTCATCCAGGACACTACATTTGTTTTTGCAGTCATGTCCCCTTAGGTTCCTCTTGATTGTGATGGTTTCTCAGGCTTTCCTTGTTTTTAATATCTGTCACAATTTTGAGGAATTTCGGTCAGGTATTACGTAGAATGTTTCTGAATTGGCATTTGTCTGATGTTTTATCATTGGACTGGGATCGTGTGTTTTGAGGAGGAAGACCACAGAGGTCAAGTGCCATTTTCACCACATCTTATCGAGTATATATTATCAAATGACATCACTATTGTTAACTTTGACCCAGGTGAGGTAGACACCCACATTTTTAGTTAGGCATTTACACCAATCCAACACCACAGGGTTCTTCCAAACCTTCCATCACCCTCTTTCTCTTCTCCCACACCAAAACACTGGCTCCCAATAAATCAATACATTTTTTTTTATTCATTTGATCAATCCTACAACGAACAAAAAGTCCAAATCATGATGCCCATGCTATGATGAAAACAAAACTGAGTTCAAAAGTTGCTGTAATTTTTTGTCTTCATATATTATAAAGTTGTACATATTTTATCTTTATATATTATGACACATATAAACATTTTGTTTGTCATTTGTCTTTTGCCTTTGTTTATAGTGTATTTTGCCTTACAAAAGTACATTTGTTTTAAATTATCAAAAGTAGCAGCCTTTTATTAAGTCTGGATTATTAAGGCATAATTAGAAAGTCTTCCCAAACATTCACGCTAAATGGAATTCACCTCTGTACTTCTGGTGCTTGAACAGCTTAATTTAAACCTCTCATCAATTTGGAATTCATTCTTTTGCATGATGTGAGGTCTGAATCCAATTTAATCTTTTTCCAAATGACTATCCAGTTATTCCCCAAGAAAAAGAAGTCCACTTTTGCCCCAGTGATTTGCCCCCACCTTTATTACACACTAAATCCCCTGTATTTGATAAGATTTCTGAACTTTCTCTTCCACCAGTCAGACAATTCATGAGCCAATACCGCAGAACTATGGAAGACTTTGAGTGCCTTAGTATCTGACAAGAATTAGCACATCCTGAGGGCACTGGCACTTTTATCACATTTACATCTCTAGGTTAACTTGGAGGAAACAACCACCTTCAGACATGCAACAACATGGACAAGGAACAAACCTCTGATATTTCAAGAAGGCACAAGAGTACATATTCTAACATAAACAAGGCCAAATCAGGGCTCTGGCCTGGGCCCAGCTCAGGGATGAACTGTACCACCTTGGTCAGGGAGGGTTTCTGCATCGGGAGGCCAGACCTAACGGGGCCTGGCCACCCCCAGGATGTCGGACGGATGACCACACTGGACCACACTGCCCCAGTTTGTGTAAAGTCCAGCGCTTCCAAACTACGTGGGGCTCAGGGACTAGGCTGAAAGATACCAGCCAGCAACAAGATGCTGCTTGGCAACCCATTTAAGACATGTTTGCTTATTTTCTTCTCCTTCATAAGATACATTTATTTAAACACACACACACATATATATTAAACACATATATGTTTAACCTTAGTGGGGATAAAAAGAAAGTTCTTACGGCCAGGATTCTCACCTGGCCCTGGTCGGCTTGCTCTCTACACACTTGTGGGCAATACGTTCTTATTGACTCTAAAGAGCTCTGCCCAGGTCTCTGGCAAGTACAGTGCTCTGGGCTGCACAGCTGCAGGAGAGCAGAGACTGGAGGGGTGGCAGCACCAAGGACAGAGACTGAGATGGTCGCGGGGGCGAAGAGGCCCGGAGGAGAGACCGGCTTGCTGCATGCAGACTCGCTCTGAGTGGACGAGATTCTAGTGATTGACCTGTGAATAAAGTTATGTATAAAGTTTATGTATAAAGTTATGTATAAAGGTATAAACCCGTTCACCCCAAGAACGTTCCATTGTCATTCTTTGGTCTCACTGAATCCATGGTGAACTTGCCAGGGGTTGAAACCTATTCCTCGCAGAAATGATGGCTTCGTAGGTGAGAAAATTTCTCCCAGACACACTTTTACACACAAGCACGTACCAAACGCTTAACGGTCACAGCCACCCAATGGCCAACGGTCACCCAGCAACAGCGTGCACACAGCACAGCCACCGATGGCCGCGACCCCGCCGCGTCGAGCCCGCGATGGTTCCTAACGCACGCACTCTCGCACTCCCGCGGCCCGTCCACCCGAAACATCGCGAGATCCGGCCTTGCGGTTTAGCTCCGGAGCTTTACGCCTAGACACTACGTTTCCCAGAAGAGACTGCGGCGCTGGCCCAATCGCGGCGCAGCATCGGTGGTACTATATGCGCCTGCGCCATCTTCCGGCTCCGGGCGGCGAGTCCGCCGTTACTGAGGAGGAGGCGCCCCCCGGGTTGGCGGGGGGGGCGCGGCCGCGGTGGCACCCGTACCCGAAGAGGCGGCGGGTGAGGGGTTCCGGAACTTGCCGGGCGTTCCGGGGGTCGGTGCAGGAGCGGGTGCCGCGGCTGGGCGGGTCTCGGGCCTGGGAAGAACCCGGACGCCTCGCCGCGGGGTCGGTTGCGGCTCTTCCGGCTCTGGACTATACTTCCCATCGGCCTCCGCGGCTTGCCCCCTAGCGTCCTCTTCACGCGGCCAAGCTCGCAGCCGGGTCCACGGGCCCCTTAGGTGGGTGTGGGGGGGTCCCCGGCCCACAGAAATGCCGAGTTTTGTACATTCATTCTTGTATTAGGAGATTCTTTAAGAGTTGCAAGATTTAGGACCACTAGTTTAGAAGCACAGACTGCTACTTAGGAACATTCTTTAGATGATCGTGTAAAAAGATATCTATGTCCAGCAGTGCGGAAAGGGTGGGGTAAATCATGCGCCACTCACATAATAAAATATTCCATGTAATACTGGAACCGTGGTCATGATGAAAAATTCCTATTACATGATATCGTGGAAAATTCATATTCAATTTTTTTACGTTACTTAGAATTAAATGTTTTTAACGTGGCAGGCACTGTCTTAAACTCCTTTATAAAATGCTACTCATTTAATGAACTCAGGAAGTGGTTAAATGACATCATTCTTAATATGTGCATGCTTACTATTCTAGTTTTATTATGTTTGGGTTTTTTTTGGTGGTTTTGTTTTCAGTCCAGTGGTCAGTAGGTGGGTGGGTTTGACCTCTTTCCTGAATGCTCCCTTGTTGTATAAAGGGTCCAGGTGTGAATACCGTTCCTTGTCAGTTAATGTCCCACATCATTTTTGGTAGTCACTTGTTGTTCCATTGTGGGGCTGTGCCAGAAAGGACCCATTCGCATGCCTACTTGTGCACTGTTATGTGCTCTTTGAGCAAATGTCATGCATGCCGCATTGCTTGCTATTACGTCTCTGTGCAGGGGCATGTTTGTGTGATAATAATGGAGCCTGGGCTTGTTCCATCTAATTGTCCCCCCTGCAACCACATCCCATTTGTTGCCTCCAGGCAGGGTCCTCAAAGTGGTGTCCACCAGGCCCTAGGTGGAGCTGTTGGGTTGTGAACTTGGAAGTTGGGTAAAGAGGTAGGGAGACTTGTGAAGGTGTTAGGTTGCAGGCATGAGAGTGAAGTGGTGTGGTTCTAGGAAGGCTTCCTTGTGGGCTGGGCTGATGCACATCAGGCCAGGGTGCTCCTTGGCCTGAGGACAGCCTTTCCTGCCCCTGGGACACCTTGTGGTCTCAGTACCTGGGCCAGGTCTGAGCGTTCCCTGTCAGATCTACATCAGTGACAAGGTGGAATTCTCTGGGTATTGAGGGGAAATGGACAAGAGAGGGCCCCTGTTCTGTCTCCTTGCAGCGGGCAACTAAGGCTGGGTTTCCTGGAGTTGGTTAGGGCCACAGTTTGTCCCAACTCCTCTAATTTTTGTTGGGGGTGAGGGGGCACAGAGGTGGGGACTCGTAACCATGGCATCCTGGGATTTGTGGGACAGGCCTGGCTGCTCATCTTTGCTCCTTCCTTTCCCAGCTCCGCCGCCTCGGGACTCCGCCCCTCTGGGGGGACAGACCAGGAGGAGGGCCCACCAACCCGTGACATTCTGAAAGTCATGTCCCGTGTGAGTTTTAAAATCATGGGAATATTCGCTTTCCTTATCCTAGAGGATCCCATTTTCGGGACTAACAAGACCAGGCAGCTGTATCCTCCCCGTGGCCCCCTGCTCTCCGACCCACACCCACAGACGCAGTCTGCAGAGCTTCCACTTCTGATGGCTCAGTCTTCGGTCAGGATCCAGATGGAGTGTTGTATTATATTTCCTCGTATAAAAGCAGGACCGAGGTTTGATGCATGGAGGTGGATGCTTGAAGGGCTACCGCACGGAACAGCAGGGAACCTGGCTAGGTTGGCCTCAGTTTCAGCACAGGGCACGGTGTGTTTTTGGAGGCGTTGACAGTTGGGTATAACTGAGGCCTAGCTGGGAATCCCTGAGGGATCCAGTGTCAGAATTGGCGTCCAGTTTAAGGTTGAACGGAGCATTGGAATGTGGGTCATTCTCCATTACCTTCTTTAGCCAGAAAGAGAGAGAGTATGGAGCTGGGGACTGTGAAACATGAATTGTTCAGAAAATGGATAGTCAGAACTGGGAAGAAACCGCAGAGATCCGATCCAAACTCGGCATCCTTAGTAAGCGAACACTGAGCCCTTTTTTCACTGGGTAGAAAATTGTACAGCTAATGAAAAGTAACCTTCACCCAAGATTTTCCTTGTAAGGATAATGCTTGTGGTATGTTCTTCAGGCAGCTCTCAGTTTACATGAAAATTCTCGTGTCAGAGATTGAAAGTATCTCTTTAGTGAAATACTTGGATGTAAGCCCATCGAAGTGTGTTGGTTTGTGTTTTGTTGTTGTTCTTCCATAAAAGTAGGAATTGTAGGTCTCACATTGCAAGCAGGACAAGGACAGAGTAGGCAACTGTTTCTCATAATTGGGAAAACTCCATTTAGCTGGATTTTACTCAGCGTCCCAGACCTGTGTACAGAGCCTTGGTTTGGAGTAAAAGGAAAGTTCGAGAATGTTAGCACCTTGTGGTTTATTCAGGCCCGTCTTCTCTGTCACCTGCTCTCATCACAGGCCCCCAGCCCTAGCCTCATTCTCACCACCTCCCCGTTCCTACAGAGACCCCCTCCACCCGCTCTCATCCCGTCGAGAAACACTTCCTTGAAATGTGCACATCACAAGCGCCTCTTGTTGCAGGGGTCAGACTCGTTCGGGGACGTGGCCGTAGTCTTCTCCCAAGAAGAATGGGAGTGGCTGGCACCTGCTCAGAGGGCTTTGTACAGAGACGTGATGTTGGAGACCTATAGCAACCTGGTGTCCCTGGGTAAGGAGCCCTGCTCGTTAGTTTGGATGAGACCTTCAGGCACGTCTGTTCCTTCCTTCTCAGTTCTGGGTGCCTTTTGGGTGGTTAAAGTGCAGCTCCACAGGCTGAAACTTGTCACATCGTCCCCTGACCCTTCCTGCAACCACCTCTCCTCAGTGGCTAGGTCGTGGGTCTGAGTTCTGTGGCCCCACAGTGTAAGCAGATGGCATGTTTTTTGTCACATCCAGGTCTGGCCATTTCCAAACCTGACGTGATCTCCTTCCTGGAGCAAGGCAGAGAGCCCTGGACGGTGGAGATGGCAGCGGCAGGCGGCACGCGCCCCGGTGAGTGAGGCGGGTGTGGGAGGGGAGACGGCACTGCAGATGACTGTGCAGCTGGTCGGCAAGGAAGCAGGCCTTAGACTTAGGAAATTGTCCCTCCGGTTGCCAGACTCACAGGTCAGGTCCCAGTCGTCACCTTCTGTGGCTTCTCAGCAGCATTTGGCAAAAGTGGTTTCCCTCCTGGGACGTTTCTGCGTCCTCGGGTCATGAGTACCTCTAGTTCTCACCTCCCTCATTAAGCTACCCTGAGTGTCCTTTGGTGAATTTTCTTACCTTCTCTAAATGCTGGCACACCCCAGGGCTGACGTGGGCCACTTCCTTCCTGTTTATTTCCATCCCCAGAGCCTTGTGCGTGGCCACACTGTAAATACCATTCATCCTGTGGCCGTTCATACCACTGGCTCCATGTGGCCGTTGCAGTTTATGTTAATTTCAGTTAAGCACAGTTAGAAATTCAGTACCTTAGTTGCACTTGGCGCATTTCAGATGTTCAGTGGCTGTGTTGTGGCTCGTGGCGGCTGTGCTGGACAGCAGTGCAGAGCGTTCCCATCACTGCATAAAGTCCAGCCGGCCGGCACAGATCATCTCCGCCTCAGCTTCCCCCTTAGACTCAGGTGCCTCACCCACCTGCCTTCTCCTCGTGGCCCCTCGGATGCGCTCTGGGCACTTGGAACCTGACAAGTCCGAAGAGAAGTCCCTGATCCTCCCTAGTAAATCTGCCCTTCCCCTGTGCTGCATGTGATAGGGAACTCTATTCTTTTTTTTTTTCCCAAATGTACAAAGTTGTTTATTTTTCTTGGCAATTTAAAAATACATAACCATTTAAATTTAAACTGAATACACATTAAGTTAGTGTTTTATTTCCTTACTGTTCAGTTGACACTATAAGGAACCCAGCATTCAGTTAAAACCTAATGAATGCCATCAACTTTTTCTGGCTTATTTTTCTGAACAGACTTAGTACAGAAACATAATTTTATTATCCTTTTTTAAATGCTTAGAAAAATTATAATGTCCTAGTTCACATAAAGCCCTTTAAAAATCTGATGTAGGGAACTCTGTTCTTACACTTGTTTAAGTCAAAACTGTGAAGCAGCCTTGACTTTTCTCTCCCACACTTAGTCTGTCAGTCAGTCCTTACCTCTACCTTGAATACATCTGGAATGTCACCACTTCTCCCCAACACCACTGCTACCACCCCGTTCACCCCAGCCCCGCCTCTGGCATAGACGGCAGCAGGAGCCCTGTGCCCCTCTCTTCCACTCCTGTCTGCTACACTGCCTTCTCTGCAGCAGCCAGAGGCCTCCTCAAACCTTCTGTCAATGTGTGTGACATCTCTGCCCAGAGCCTGCCAGCAGCCCCCACCCGCAAGGGAAAAGCCGAACTCCACACCCTGGCCAGAAAGCTCTGTGTCTGCACTGCCCAACGTAGCCACCAGCCATATATAGTGCTGTTGAATTTCAGTTTTACCTAAAATTAAACGAAATGTGGCATTCCATTCCATGGTTGCCCTTGCTACATTTCCCTGCTTGGTGGCCGTGTGCAGCCAGGGGCTGGCAGACCAGGCAAATGAGAGCATCTGCAGAGCCCAGGAAGGGTCTGTGGAACTGTGTGCCCCATGCGATCGGCCTCACCGCCTCCCCTCTGATTTCATCTCTTACCGCGCTCCGTTGCTCATTCGGCTACAGCTACTCCAGCCGCTTTGCTGTTCCTTTATCGCAGGGGTTGGCAGTCATTTCCTATAAAGGGCCAGATGAAATGTTTCAGGCATTGCGGGCCCTCTGGTCTCTTGCAACCACTCAGCTCTGTGTGGGAGCACGAGAGCAGATTAGGTCGTGGGTCTGAGTTCTGTGGCCCCACAGTGTAAGCAGATGGCATGTTTTTTGTCACATCCAGGTCTGGCCATTTCCAAACCTGACGTGATCTCCTTCCTGGAGCAAGGCAGAGAGCCCTGGACGGTGGAGATGGCAGCGGCAGGCGGCACGCGCCCCGGTGAGTGAGGCGGGTGTGGGAGGGGAGACGGCACTGCAGATGACTGTGCAGCTGGTCGGCAAGGAAGCAGGCCTTAGACTTAGGAAATTGTCCCTCCGGTTGCCAGACTCACAGGTCAGGTCCCAGTCGTCACCTTCTGTGGCTTCTCAGCAGCATTTGGCAAAAGTGGTTTCCCTCCTGGGACGTTTCTGCGTCCTCGGGTCATGAGTACCTCTAGTTCTCACCTCCCTCATTAAGCTACCCTGAGTGTCCTTTGGTGAATTTTCTTACCTTCTCTAAATGCTGGCACACCCCAGGGCTGACGTGGGCCACTTCCTTCCTGTTTATTTCCATCCCCAGAGCCTTGTGCGTGGCCACACTGTAAATACCATTCATCCTGTGGCCGTTCATACCACTGGCTCCATGTGGCCGTTGCAGTTTATGTTAATTTCAGTTAAGCACAGTTAGAAATTCAGTACCTTAGTTGCACTTGGCGCATTTCAGATGTTCAGTGGCTGTGTTGTGGCTCGTGGCGGCTGTGCTGGACAGCAGTGCAGAGCGTTCCCATCACTGCATAAAGTCCAGCCGGCCGGCACAGATCATCTCCGCCTCAGCTTCCCCCTTAGACTCAGGTGCCTCACCCACCTGCCTTCTCCTCGTGGCCCCTCGGATGCGCTCTGGGCACTTGGAACCTGACAAGTCCGAAGAGAAGTCCCTGATCCTCCCTAGTAAATCTGCCCTTCCCCTGTGCTGCATGTGATAGGGAACTCTATTCTTTTTTTTTTTCCCAAATGTACAAAGTTGTTTATTTTTCTTGGCAATTTAAAAATACATAACCATTTAAATTTAAACTGAATACACATTAAGTTAGTGTTTTATTTCCTTACTGTTCAGTTGACACTATAAGGAACCCAGCATTCAGTTAAAACCTAATGAATGCCATCAACTTTTTCTGGCTTATTTTTCTGAACAGACTTAGTACAGAAACATAATTTTATTATCCTTTTTTAAATGCTTAGAAAAATTATAATGTCCTAGTTCACATAAAGCCCTTTAAAAATCTGATGTAGGGAACTCTGTTCTTACACTTGTTTAAGTCAAAACTGTGAAGCAGCCTTGACTTTTCTCTCCCACACTTAGTCTGTCAGTCAGTCCTTACCTCTACCTTGAATACATCTGGAATGTCACCACTTCTCCCCAACACCACTGCTACCACCCCGTTCACCCCAGCCCCGCCTCTGGCATAGACGGCAGCAGGAGCCCTGTGCCCCTCTCTTCCACTCCTGTCTGCTACACTGCCTTCTCTGCAGCAGCCAGAGGCCTCCTCAAACCTTCTGTCAATGTGTGTGACATCTCTGCCCAGAGCCTGCCAGCAGCCCCCACCCGCAAGGGAAAAGCCGAACTCCACACCCTGGCCAGAAAGCTCTGTGTCTGCACTGCCCAACGTAGCCACCAGCCATATATAGTGCTGTTGAATTTCAGTTTTACCTAAAATTAAACGAAATGTGGCATTCCATTCCATGGTTGCCCTTGCTACATTTCCCTGCTTGGTGGCCGTGTGCAGCCAGGGGCTGGCAGACCAGGCAAATGAGAGCATCTGCAGAGCCCAGGAAGGGTCTGTGGAACTGTGTGCCCCATGCGATCGGCCTCACCGCCTCCCCTCTGATTTCATCTCTTACCGCGCTCCGTTGCTCATTCGGCTACAGCTACTCCAGCCGCTTTGCTGTTCCTTTATCGCAGGGGTTGGCAGTCATTTCCTATAAAGGGCCAGATGAAATGTTTCAGGCATTGCGGGCCCTCTGGTCTCTTGCAACCACTCAGCTCTGTGTGGGAGCACGAGAGCAGATGGCACAGGTTTGCCCGCACCGGCTTTGGCACGACAGGCATCTTCCTGCCTCAGTCTTTCCCGCCTGTCCCCTCTCCCTGGGCACTCCTGTGCTGGGTGGGGACTTGTCAGCCTCTGCGGTGTGGATGTTTTGTGGGCTAGCTTTTTGTTGTGGGGGGCCATCGCAGGCACAGAAGGGTGTCAAGCAGCCTCCCTGGCCTCCACCTACTGGATGCTGCCAGACCCCTCCTCTCAGCTGTGACAACCAAGAATGTCTCCAGCCATTGCCAGATGTCCCCCAGGGGACAAAATCTTACCTGATTCAGAGCCAGAGTTGCAATGTGACGTGAGACAAGAGTGTGTAGTACACAATTTCCACAAGCACAGTGCCCCTGCGAGAATTTAAGATGGGGAGCCGAGAACGACGTGTCCCTCACAGGTTGGATTCATACCCCTTGAGGTGGTGGTTGGTCCCTGGGAGTGAGTGAGGTCAGGGGTTGGGGAGCACTGGGAGCCGAGGTGTGAGGTCAGAGGTTGGAGGGCACTGGGAGCCGAGACGTGAGGTCCGGGGTTGGGGAGCACTGGGAGCCGAGGTGTGAGGTTGGGGGTCAGGGGGCACCGGGAAGCTGAGGCGTGAGGTCGGGGGTTGGAGGGCACCAGGTGCAGAGGCATGAGGTCAGAGGTTGGAGGGCACCGGGAGCCGAGGTGTGAGGTTGGGGGTCAGAGGGCACTGGGAGCTGAGGCCGTTCCTCTGCCGACCACTCCTGATGTCAGACAGCAGATTCTTTTTTTGTCTTTGTCATTAGAGTTTTGACAGCACAGGTTTGAGGGACTCATTTTTTGCTGCTTACACGTGTGGGTCTGTGTCACACGTAAAGAGGACTCCCCGCTCTGAGGTTGTGCAATGAGTCGCCTGTCATCTTGCCAGTATATTTATGGTGCTGTTTATGACCCATGTGGAGTTTTACCTCCTGTAAGATGTGATTTCACACAGTGTTCCATATTGTTACCCAGTTATTGGCACAGCATTCATTAACTGATTGGAGCTTTTCACCACTAATCTATAAAGCCACCTCCTCCATCTGCTATCTTACCTCTTCGAGTCTCGTTGTGGGCTTTTTCTTTTATCCCATTCATCTCTCTAACCACGTGTCTGTACATACTGTTTAAATTACTGAGGGTTTAATTAAAATAGCCCTTTTCACACTTATTTTTAAGAATTTTCCTGGCTGTTCTCATTAATTTTTCCATCTGAACATTAGAATTAGATTTGGTTTAAAAAAATAATCATGTACTGACGGACAGTGACTGTAATGGGGTTTGTGGAGGGGACTTGGTGAAGGGGGGACCCTAGTAAACATAATGTTCTTCATGTAATTGTAGATTAATGATAACAAAATAAAAAATAATAATAATCATGTAATTCGTGGTAAGATGATGGTAAACAGCATGGTAAATGTACAGATTAATTCAGGAGAAAACTATTTCTTAATTACGTGGGGTCTTTTATGAAGAACATGAAAAGCTTTTCCCTTCATTTATGTCTGTCCCTGGTGGTTTTAAAGTTTTATTTATGTGGATCTTGTACATTTCTTACTACATTTATCCAAGGTATTTTATGTTCATTGCTTCTGGAAATGGGGGCCTTTCATCCCAATGCTGTATTCCAAATGGTAGTTTTTTTATGTGTGACAAGCCATTCATGTCTTCAGACTGATTTTGAAGTTAGCCCAACTTACTGAACTTTATCACTTTAAAAAAAATTCTTATTTTTCACTGCGGTGCAGTTGACAGACAGGATCCTGTTAGTTTCAGGTATACAGCACAGCGATTCTACAGTCACACACGTCAGGAATCGCTCAGCCCGGTAGGTGCAGGTGCTGTCCCTGCTCATTGTTTAGGACAGTTTTTCATGTGATTTTCTCGAGCTCTGCCAGTGTTCGGTCATATCCGCAGCCAGCGGCGCTGATGTTCCTGCACTTTGATCCCGCCTGGTTGTTCTTCCTGTCTGATGAGGGCGGGGGGTACATTACAGCTCCAGACCCGTGTCAGCGGGGTGGCTTACATCTAATCTCCTTGACCTTAATAGGAATGTGTTCCATGTGTTCTTAAGCATAATATCAGACTTAAAATGAGAGAGGGGTATTTTATGTCGTAAAAGAAGCACCCACTCTTACATTGTATTGCTTTGTTTAATCTATAAAGTCTGGGCCGTGTGAACAGATATCCTGTTAAGCACATGGAGTCTCACGTTCATGTTTGGCCATTCTTGAGCCAGCTCTGGTGATTTTATTTTTCCTGTAAGATGTACTTTTTTAATTTTAAAAATTTTGAAATATCCATAACTGCACTTCTGTAATCATTTGAAAGTGAGTAGCTCATAAGCATTTAGCATATTTATAAAGTGAACTACACCATTATGTACTTTCAGACTATTTTTAATTGCTTGTGAAAATATTGTGACTTACAACAAACATATTTGGTCTTCATCCCTGTTTTCTGGCACACAGCTCTGAAAATCCTTGGACTCTCTGAGGTACTAAGTGTCCTGTGTGCTGTGGCGTAGCTGGTGGCTGGGGCTCCTGGGGAGCCTCGGGGGGCACTGGCCGGGAGGGGAGCCACTTGTGTAGCTGGAGGGTTGGAACTTTTAGCCACATCCCCCAGTTGGGGGGAAGGGAGAGGGACTGGGGGTTGAGTTAGTCACTCGTGGGCAGTGATTTCATTAATCTCATCTATGTAATGAAGCAGCCGTAAACCTCCCTCCGGTGCCAGGTCCAGAGAACTTCCAGGCCGGGGGACACGTGGCGGTGCTGGGTGGGCGGCATGTCTGGGGAAGGCCTCCCACTCCCCGCAAACCCTGTCCTGTGCATCTCCCACCTAGCTGATACTGAGCTGTGTGCACTTGGTAATAAACTGTTCACATAGTGAGTAAAGTGTTCCCTGAATTCCGTAAGCTGTCCTAGCAAACGACTGAATCCCAGGAGGGCGTCTTAGGAGTCTCCGATTTATTGGGCAGGGGCACCGCACAGAGGCAGCCTGTGGACCCAGCCGTAGCCTGTGGGGCCTGACCCTGTCTGCAGAGGCAGACTCGGGAATAGACAGATCTGTGGGGCACCCACTTGGTATCTGCCAGGGAGCTGGCGAATCGCTTGGTGGGAGGGAAAAGCTCACATCCATTTGGCGACTAGGTGTCAGA